TTTGCCCAAAAAACACCCAGTCAATTCATTGTACAGTGTTTCCTGTGAAGCGCTATGAGACGTCTCGAAGACATGATAAGGTGCTATATCAAATGCAAGGACTATAAATGGGGGAATTTGGAGGCAGGGGGTGGGAGTTTGGCTTGGATTAGAGGCCGCAGCCAAAATGCACACCGAAACCTGGAGCGAATGATCAGCGGAGGGAGCTAGAGGAGATAGTGCCAGGGGGATAGAGATGTGATAGCACTCAACAACAACAACAAATTACATTTATATAGCGCTTTTCATGTCAGGAGGATTACCTCCAAAAAGTGATCCGCCAATCGACAAGCAACCGGGTTCCTGCTTATTGCCAGATAACCAGACGCGTGTGCCTGAGGTTTCGTCCTCCCCAGAATCGAACCCAGGTCCTCTCGCTTGCTAGGCAAGTACTACACAACAGGTCTCCACGATCAGGGCTCAACTCATTCAAAGGACAGCACCTCTCACAATGCAGCATACCAGCACTACAATGGAGTGTCAAATTGGAACCACCTTTGCCGCATTGTATGGTTAGTCCTAAATGGTTCTTCCTGTAAAGTTGAAAAGAGTTGCATTGCCTTTCGGATTCAAACCTACAAGGGACCAGAGGTCTTGGGTATCAGATATGTTGCTGCATTTAGGGGATACTTTTGCCTTTAAATCAGGGGAATAAACTCATTATTGTCACTGGAACAATTTACGGCGAGTTCGAATGGATATTTTTACAGAATAGCTTAGATATAGACTTGAGTTCCAAGTCCTGACAGCCTTCTGACTGATTGGCGCAAGGGTTAACCGAATAAATAGGCTGATACAAAACTTGCGGGAATTTTGGCACAGTTGGAAAATGTCCAGAGTTTGTGCTGTCACAAATCTCCATAGTCGATTTTATTAGATGGCTCCTTGCTGCAGTTACCTTTAAAGTCACCAAACCCACCCTACCTATTATTTACTATCGAAAAGAGTAATTCTTGTTATTTGTTTTCTGATTTAGATACTGGGAATGAAATAGCTGTGATTACTAATAAAGGAGATCTATTCTATGGAAGACTCAGTGTTGATGCAGTGTTGGTAAAGGTAAGTGTAAAGTCTTCAAAATAATTTCTTATGGGTAAAAGATAGCAACTCATTACCGCTTCTTAAGGATAGTGCTGAAATCTCTATTGCAAAATTGAATTAAGTACTTTCTATATTTTTTGTTTTCAGATCAAAACAGTTGGCAACTTACGTGTGAGAGAACAGATGATCTTCAATAAGTTTGGCGATTTGTCCATCATAGAATCCAGGAAAGGCTATCACGTTAACAGTATTGATTTCTTTCATTGTATAATTTGGATCAACCAAGAACTTAACAGTTTGGAACCACCTTTGCCGCATTGTATGGTTAGTCCTAAAGTGGTTCTTCCTGTAAAGCTGAAAAGAGTTGCATTGCCTTTCAGATTCAAACTTACAAGAGACAAGACGTCTTGCGTGTCTTATAAATTGCTCCATTAATGGGATACTTTTACCTTTAAACCAGGGGAATAAACTCATCATTGTTACTGGAACAATTTAGGGGAGGTAAGATTGGACATTTTTATAGAGATGATCAGAATTTAATCTGGAATTTTTTGACACAAGTGACTATTGAAGCTGAAACTATTAGAACATTGAAAAATAAATAATACAATAATAATATTTAATATAGTGCCTTTCATGTCAGGAGAACATCTCAAAACGCTTCACAGGATCCACTGTAAAGTTAATCACTGCATTTGTGTAGATGCCCACTTTGCTCACAGCCGTGTCCCCAAAACAGCCATAAATAAAAGAATATAGTGGAAAATGGGATTAGAGAAATTAGTTTCAGTGGATAAGCAGCAGCTGATTCTTCAATGGCCATTTTATGCTGCAAAGTTTATAATTCTATGAATCTATCCTGACTTTTTCTTGGATCCTGACAAGCATCCAAATGTGTTATACCCTTTTTATTGGGAGACCACAGATCTACATTATGCGCAACTTGTATTATAAACACTGCTTATTTCCTGAATTACATTTATACTAAAATGTTTTTACTGTTCTGTTACAGGTTCAGAGTTTAGAAAGTAAATCTTGGAAAAGAGCATATTATATCGATATAAAGGAAAATGCAAGCCTTTTTGCTCAATTTGTGCCAGCCACATCACAAGATGCACTTTGTTTGGTATGTGTTGTGTGGATAGCTTTATGTTGCTATATGTTTGAAAATATACCAAAATGTAAATAGAAATATTTTAAGATCTGGTAATTCAGTTTTTCCCCTTTAATTTTGCAAACCTAATATGAAGGAAAAGCTATAAGTGTTATTTGAAAGCTTCTTAGTTTTTCTGAAGCAATCAAATTGTTTCATGTCTAAAATGTGAAAATAGAAAGAACTTTTTTTTAAAGCATTATACTTTTAACCTGGAATAAGGCACAACATACTGTATTCTTTAGCATCAGAAGTTTAATGATCCAGACTTCTGAATTTGGAGTGCTGACTTTAGAGTTAAATTCCTAGCATGTGGAAGATTTGAAGAATTAGTATTCCTACGGAACCATAAATAAACATTAAATTACCTGGAAGTAACACTTCATCTTTAAATTCCACTTGAACAGGCAGATGGGACTTTGGTTTAATGTCTCATTTGAAGGATGGCACCTCTTGCAATGCAACACCCCCCCCCAGCAACGCATTGGTGTGTCAGCTTAGACAGAGTAAATTGGAGATAGAGCAATAGCTGGAGAGTTGAGGGGTGAAGAATGAGGTTTTCTTGGGAGTGAGGTGATGATTCATTTTAACAAGAGCTGGATATGTGTAAAATTCAGTAATGTTATTTCAGAAATTTCTGATGGGTTTGTTTTGCAAACAATAAAAATAATTTCAGTTTTTACAGCTTTTTAAAAGGAAATTACAAACTTACATTTCTAAAGCCCCTTTCACGTCGGGAGGACATCTCAAGGCGCTGAACAGACAGAGTTTCAGACCCAAGCTGGGGGTCGGGATCAGGGAGAGTGGAAGGCAGGGGTGAAGCAGGGAGATAGAAAGCACGGTTGAAGAGGAGGGTCTTGAGATGGGTCTTGAAGGAGGCAAAGAAGGGGGACAAAGCAGAGGCACTGCACTCCCCTTGCACCACTTCTGCCAATTTCACTGCCCTCCTCTCCTCCCTAAACCTTACCCTCCATATAAATTCACCCACCCACAACCGTGGTCATGCACTTGACCTCGTCATCACCCATGGCCTTGACATTTCCGACCTCAGCATAGTGGACAAGGCCATCTCGGACCATTTTTTTTTATCTCCTTCTCTTCTCACATCCCTCTCTCCTCCACCAAGCCCTCAACCATCCTCTACCGCCCTTGGAAAAGGCTACCCCCTGAAACCCTCAGAGGGGCCCTCTCATCATCAAACATCCTATCCCTCTGACCTTCCACCCGCGGAGATCCTGAAGCAGCCGTCCTCACCAGTCTCCCATCCACTACCATCCATAAAATCCAAATCATTCAAAACTCTGCCGCCCTCATTCTCACCCGCACCAAACTCCGCTCCCCGATCCCCCCAGTCCTTGCCAGACTGCACTGACTCCTGTCCCAGAGAGGATCGATTTCAAGATCCTCACCCTTGTATTCAAGTCCCTGCACTCCTCTGCACCCCCCGACCTCTCTGACCTCTCTCCTCAAAACAGTACCCGTTGCCTTCGTTCCTCTGGGTCTGGCCTTCAGCCACTATGCCCCGAGACTCTGGATCTGCCTTCCTCACTCCCTTCGCCTCACTCCCTCCTTTCCTATTTTCAGGTCTCTGCTGAAGATCTTCTTTCTTTTCCACCACGCCTTTGGTCACCACCCTCCCCCTCCCCCTGGCTCGGCAAGGGATCCGTTGCTGTGAAGCGCTCTGATACGCCGTCCGGCATGGAGGGCGCTATATAAATCCAAGTTGTTGTTGTTGTTGATGGAGTTACAGAGGGTGGGGCCAGAGTGGCAGAAGGCCCGCCCGCCAATAGCGATGATATAATGGAAATTGTTTAAGTTCACTGGCAGCCAGCACTTTGTAAAATGATTATTGTTTGGAGTCTGCAGCACAACTAGCAATCGAAAGCAGCCATGAAGTAAACAACCTGTTTTATTTTAGGGGATTGTTAGCCACGACACCAGAAGAAACTCCCTTCTCTTTTCGAATAGTGTTCCAGGATTGTTAACGTTCACCTTAGCAGGGAAGTGGGACCTTGGATTAATATCTCAACCACAGGTATCTGAGGCATGGAACCAGCCCTAAACCCACCCACCTGCCATGTGGTGACTGACCTTTGGAACCACTTTGAATGTTCTTGGCATCTCAGATGATCAGCATTTTGATTCTACCTGTATCTACTTTCCTCATGGAATCCTCTTAACATGTGTTGATGTTCTCCCCCCAGCTTGGCTGCCAGAACCCTATTGACCGAAACTCTTTACTTTTCTCGACTACCGTTGTATCACCTAGAGCTCCAAACATTGGCATTTTCCCCAACAACAAGTGGCTGATGGCTGATTTCAATAGTGACATTCTAAATGAGTAGCTTTTTGTCAGACACAGGGGCCGAACAAATCGAGGAACAGCTCCAGCCAACATGCTGTGTTATCGCTATATTGCTATGTTATTGGCAGAGGTCCACAGAAACCACCTTTCTCCATCTTCTTAAAATAAAAGGTAAACTTGAAGCTCATGAGGATAAATACCTGAACTGACTACCCAGCTCATGGCTACCATTTCAATTTGAGTTACAAGTTCCTTCATAGGTATTACATTTCAGAGACATTTGGATATACTTTTTTGACTGCTAGAAAGGTACAATATCTAAACAATCCCTCAGTTGTACCAGGTGAAGATGAAAAAACACGACCAAGGCATGTTTATATCTGCGTAAACAAAACACAAAATACTGCAGATGCTGGAAATCTGAAAACAAAAACAGAAGTCACTGGAAACACTCAGCAGGTCAGGCAGCATCTATTGAGAACGGAAAGTGAGTCAACGTTTCGGGTCCACGACCCTTCATCAGAATATTTATATCTGTGTGTTGGGTTTAATGTGTATTCAGTTGGTTATGCTTAGTAAGTGACGTAGATGTGGGAATACAATAATATTATTGGCATTATTTACTCCACTTCATCAACAACAACAACAACACAAGATTCCATTTATAGAGCGCCTTTCACGTCGGGAGGACATCCCAACGTCAACCAACAATGTGCTATTTTCTTTGTAATAATCTTTCATGTTTCATGAAAGAAGCTCTTGATAATCTGGAATTCTGCAGCTGTCATTCTCTCCCACATTCTCTGCGAGTCTATCAGCCCCACTTTTTTTTTTACCAGGCTCCATTGGCTCCGAATACCACAGCAGACCAATTTGGAAGTCCTCCATTTTACTATTGTATGCTTTGTAAATCAGGCATACATTTAGTATAAAAGGCCCCCTAAACAGGGAGGCAGTGATTGATGAGAGGGGTGTACTTGTGCTAAGTTCTCTAAATCAATAGACTACAATTTATTTAAAATAATATGTGTGTCCAACTCCGCATATTACACTCACCTTCCAATGCCTTCCCCCATCCCAACCTTTGTGTTCTCACGCAATACCCACCCACCGACAGTCTGCTGTGCCAATTCAGGCCTGATTACATCCCCAAGCCCCTCTCCCACCCCAATATTTGAGTTTTCAGTCACTTTGACCCCACATTCTGGAATTCCCTCTTAATCCCTCTTCACTCACTCCCTCTAAATCTGTCTATTAAAGATACTTTGACTACACCTTCAACCACTCCCTGAACTCTTCCTCCATTCCCCCAGCCATTTCCCACTTTGCATTCATCAAGCACTTTGGGTTAATCATACTTATAAGATTGTAATCCTATTTGTTGATTGGAAACAGGGTGTCCTCTTTTAGAGCTTATGTTTCCCTAAAGTCCTAATGCAACCTAGAGAATTTTGAAATGTAATGAGAACTACATATCAGTTACCTTATAATCAACTTCACTGATCACTATAATAATAGCAATACTAACAATAACAAATAATCAAGAATGACTGCAGAAAGCAAAATATTTGCACACACTAGTTTTATAAAAATGTAGTACAACAACAACAACAAGATTCCATTTATAAAGCGCCTTTCACGTCAGGAGGACGTGAAATCACACAGTGTAAGCAATGTTGGGGACTGGTGATATCTGAAATATATCATAATCAACAATATTTTTGATGCATTGTTAAAATTGTTTATTTCTACAGGTCACTATGAGTAATCCCGATTTAGTGAAATTTCAAGCATATGCATTTGTGACTGAAAGGACAGTGGATGGTGACTGGGTTTTCTCATTGGTCAGTTATATTGCAGTACAAAGCTGAAATGAATGTTTGCAGTTAATTTCACTTATATCAATACGTCTTTCCCTTGGAGTGGGACAGGAAACACCAAAGACATAGACAGTAATAATGGAGAACAAAATAATCATTAGCACAACAACTTACATTTATATATCGCCCTTCACATAGCAGATTAAATTCCAGCAGTACTCCAATGCACACTATAGAGTCCCAAAGCCTTGTCTCTTGCCAATCTGGGACTGATACTGTATTTCACCCACAAATTCAATAAACTTTGAAACATCTCAACCGTGTGTTAAGGGGCTATATCAAATGCAAGGATTATTATTATTATTAATACTCTCTAGAATTAGATTGGATTCCCCCCACCCCCCGGAAAGAGTCTACATTTAATTCCAGACACAGGAATTTCCATGTGTAGGTAGCAAATGTATGTGGAATTCTCAGTTTAGTTTGGATACTTTTAAGCAAAGTGATGGATTTCCATATGTGTCAGTCACCCAGCTGACCAAAAGCTACCGTGACCTGGAATTCCATTCCAAACAGGATGCTCAATTCTTTTTGAAAAAGATAATCAGCAGAGTATTAACTGTTTTTATTGAGAGTCTTTACAAATATTGACAATTTTATAGGGGAGGAAGAAATCTTCTAATCTTGAAGACACCTTCATTTCAAACATGTAATTTACTTGTGAACTTACAGTCTAAGTCAAAGGGTCTGCTTTGCTATGCTCAGCTATGCTTTTCAGCATTCGAAGATCAGCATAATGTCCTTCATCTTTTCTACAATGTGAATCACTCCTCATAACGTGGAACACATCAATGTTTTGCCCAAAACTGCATGCAACATTCTAATTATTATGCCACTAGATGGGAGTGGATCTGTAATTTGTTTTAATATTTCAAAGTTATACTTTGTGCATTCCACTTGTGAAAAAAAACAGGAACATATAATTTATATTTTCAAAACAATTAAGGATAACATTAAGAAATGAGAAAATCTAATCCTTGCATTTGATATATTTATATATATATATTTTACCTTGGTAAAGATTGAACAAACAGATTATTTTGACACAAGTCCTAAACGTTCACTGGGTTCAAGATATTTGTTTATCTTTATTAGAATCCCTTTTTGTCTCATGAATAAATTTTGTCTATTTATCTTTATTAGGAGCTATTTGTGACTCATGCATATAATGAAGATGTAGATAAAATGTTTAATAGAAGGTATGTTAACTGTTGTACTTTGGATTTTTTCATTTATTTGTAGTGTGGCGCAGAAAATAAGCTTTTATGTAAATGATTAAGAAGCTTCAGGTAGAATCAGAAACCTATTTCATAGGAAAAGTATTGTTTAATCTATCAAGCATAAAACCTTCTCCATTGGAACAGACTGCTCTGATTCCAAAGCCCACATCTCCCCCTGCCCTTTCCTGAAAATGTTAATCTAGTTTTATTTTTAAAAAACTGTTCCAGATATAAAAATATCAAAAGCAACAATGAAGATTGGGCAGAAGGGATCAGTTCTGAGACTAGAATCCGATAATTATTTTAAAAAGAGTATGAATTTATCAATATAGTGCATCTCTGCACATTTATGCATAAGTAGAATGAGAGAGATAATAATAATAATAATAATAATAATATTATTATTATTATCACTGATGAGAGAGATGTCCAGGGATGGAAACAGGCTACAGGGCCCAAGTGAAAATCAACTCCCTTGTCCCATGCAAACATAGTATTGACAGTAGTTTGGGCTGGAGAGGAAAACCTAAGGTGCTCTCAATATAGTCAGATGGAGTGTGCGAAATCCACCCTGTAGAGGTGTAAGGGTGAGAGTCCAAATGCCCCAGAGTAACCAGCAGAGAGCCTCAAATGTCAAGAACACCACATTTGTGACACTAGAGCTGACAGACCACTTATGTCAGTCGGCCAATGCTAGTGGAGGAACCTGTGTTTTGTAGCCACTTACTGAGCCCTGATACAGTTCCGCAAAAAGAGAATTTATCCTAGGCAAAATCACAACAGCCTCCACCTCACTGACCCAGGCGGGGAAATCCACTGACCCAGACGGATGAGAAGGAATCTCTAGGTTGCATCAAAAAAACTAATATCCATCTCCAAGCTACAGAAAGGAGCCACTAAATGAGCTAAATTAGAGACTAATGGAATTTGAGTTGTACTATTTCTATGAGTAAAGTATAATTTAAAGAATATCAAAAATGTCTTTCCATTTAGCTTGCTCTTCACTGGCATTACAACTGTTGTTATTGATGTATTGGATAAGGGCATTCGCTGCAAGGATTTGGCACCATTAGTAAGTAAATTGATCATGTTAGTATCATTTTCTCACTGTCTGATACATTAGAAAGAGGCAGGTGATGTGGAGATAGAAGAAAGTGAACAGCAATAATATATTTGTCCAGGAAATAAAATCACAAGGATCTTGGCACTGTATTACCATAATCTTTTAGGATTCCACTTGTTTCTGAATACAGCTTCAAAATAACTTGGTGTTTTGTGGTCAGCTGGGTGGCTGACACGTGACGAAATCCATCACATTACTCCATCTGGACCATCCAGTCCAGATGGAGGGTTCAATGTATGCCACTTACTAATGGAGATTCCCTTGCTTGGAATGGACTCACTTTCACTCCATAGAGGAACATGCACTACTTACCTAATTGAAGAGACTATTAGGCATAGGTTGGCAAGAGCCCAAACTTGGGGACCTCAAAGTGCATGTGGTGGTAACTGCTGCTGTTTAATCAGCTAAAACCGCATAGCTTGCCATTTAAAGCACTGTTTGGGGCAAGCTTCACTGCTGCATGTCCAGCTTGGACCACTCTACCAGTTAGGGCTTTGGCTTGCAGGGTTAACAGGAGCTGAGTGGGAAGAAACCCTGCCCCCAGTGTCTGCCTGTCCAGGTTTTCCCAATAAGCTAGGGTAACTGATCTGTCATCAGTAGCACCCTGAGGTGGACCTTCTTGACTCAGGAACTGGACAACTGCCACTACCACAGCAGATTGACTCGAATTTGACATTCTGTTGCAAACCATCAAGAAAAACACACTTACCTCCCTCTCCAAGGAGGATACACATAAATACGCATTTACATTGCTCACTTCATTGTCAGTTTTCCTAGATGTAGTGTGATCATCGATATCACATCTGACCTTTCTTGCAGGCAGCATACATTGTAATCGGGTGCCCACCAGCTAAAGAGTTAAGAGTAGTCAAGTAAGTTATGGTATATTTTAATGTATTAAAGCTCTGTCATTCCTAATGTTAGGTTTATTGAATTGTGAATTTTAAGTGAATTAAAGGACTTTGGATACCATGTACATGTACTTAGTATCCAAAGTGTTGCTTACAAATTGAAGATAGATAATTTGAAAGGATGTAAATGGCAAAGAAAGCTCTGTGATGAGTTATATTACTGTTCAGTGAAGTTAGGCTGGATTGCCATAACTTAATTTTTTGGTCAGGTTTCTGTAAACAAAGACTAATTGCAATGGTACTGACCGTGAACATTGAATACTCCAGTACTTAGCTGTAAATATTTTACATTTAACTAGGCCTCAATAGGCCCCACATTCCCTTCGCCTCACTTGCCCCCCTTACCTCCTTCAAGGCACGCCTCAAGACCCTCCTCTTTGACCGTGCCTTTGACCACCCTCTCTGCCCTCCACCTCTCTGATCCCCCAAAGTGTAGCACAACATGTTAAGGGGCATCATGCTCCAATTAGCCTATTTTTAATTAAAATTGAGCTTTGATGGTGTACTCGTAGGCCAACAATGTGAGAACTAGGGACAAAACATGTGGATTCATTGGTCAAGGTGAACCTTGCTGTCAGCACCTGAGTGAGAAGGCATGGAGTCAAGCAAGAGAGCCTCTGTCTTGTCAACATTCAACTTGAATTGGTGGAAATTTGCCATACAGTGTTCCACAGTCAGCAGAATCACTTATCTAATCAAATAGCTGCTATTTAGCCTATCTCTAGCACCTTATTTCCTTCAGACCGAAGACTGCATGAATGCAAACGAATGTACTATCTTCCTTTTCCATCAGGTGTGGTTGGGAACACCCTCTGGATTACCAATTTTGATTAGAAGTATCCAAAAGTGCAACCCTTACTATATCTAGCCAGGGTATTGAACCTGTTTCTCCATGGCTAATGGAGACCTTGTCAATTGCAGCATTTCACCAAATTCTATGGAAACTGTGATGCTCACTTCTTGTCTGGTTCGGCTTGTGGTATGAATAAGATGAAAACCACCTGATGTTCATCTACCATGCTTGGTATTGCATTCCAACTGATTAGGCTTAACAGGAACTCCAAAATTGCTACCTAAAGTCCAATTTCATTTTTACTTAACCAGGAAATTGTCATTCTCTCCCTTTATCTCCTACGTCCTTCTGACATGAAAAATGTAATTTGTTGTTATATTTGGAGGATGCCAAATGAGAGAGAGATTACCTACCTCAGGGTCTGTTTTATTCTTCTAATGTTGCCTTCCTCCATATATCGCAGCATCCCTGAAGTTCTCAGTTGGTGTTGGGTTGACAAAAGTGGAATACCTTTATAAGCTACGTGGAGTCTAGTTTAATGGTTAGAACAGTTGCCTCACAAGCGAGAAGATCTGGATTTGATTCCTAGGCAGGGTGAAACTATGGGCAAGTTTCCTTACCCCACACGCCTGTTTATCTAGCAGCAAGTAGGAAACCGGTTGCTAGTCAGTTGGTGGATTGTTTGAAGGGGTAATAATCCCTTCAAATTTTTTAAAATGTAATAATAATCTGACCACTCAATCCACGACTGTTTGTGGGACGCTGCTGTGCGCAATTGGCTGCCGTGTTTCGCTCACAAAATACACAGTCAATTCACTTTACAGTATATTCTGTGAAGCTCTTTGAGACGTCTCGAAGATGTGATAAACCGCTATATTAAATGCAAGGATTATTATTATTATTATAATAAGGCTCTGTTATTCTCAGTAGAAAAATTTAATTTCGCTGGGAATATATTCATCTAATACAACTTCAACAATAACTTGTATTTATATAGCGTCCTTCATGTGGGGTAGCATCCCAGAGCACTTTACAGCGGTGGAATCTGGCACCTAAGTACCGATTATAATATTTCTGTTTTTGGTTTTCTTGATTTTCCAAACTAGGAAACTGACTACTTGTCCAAAAGAAATATTCAATGATACATTTAGTTACGTTATAAAAAGGTAAGTATGGATAATTTTTTTAACTAGATAATATTGATGCATCTAAACCAATGTACTAAATATATAGACTTAACACAATAATACTGTAACTCTTCAATATGTATTTTTCCATTTGAAAACATGGTATATATGCTGCCTTATTTTAAACTTTGTTCCTTTTTCTGAGTTTCCAAAACGCTGTTGTCAGCTGAAAAACTGTGCTCCAGTAATGCTAATCACAACTAGGATGTGTGAAACTCAAGATGAATTTCCTTCTACACTTGGAGATATCATGTGTGACTTTCATTTGACACAATTCTCTGATGGTACATCAGAAATCAATAGCTCAAATCCTGTGCTGTCGCGTTTCCTAATTCTATAATTGTTGTGGTGTATTGTGTTTTTTAAGGTAAGCTGGGTATGACACATGCAGAAACCCATCACCATGCTTAAGAATATCTAAACCAGATCAGGTTCATCTACATGTGGAAATTTCCCTGCGGTGTAGACATGTCCTCAACTCCAAAGGGTGGAGCTCAGCTGGACAAGTACCGCACTGGAGTTACCATCATTCCTGTTACTTAGTTTATGCATTTCAAAATAATAAAGGGTTGATTGGACCCAGCAGGATTTGAAAACCAAACTCCAGTGCTTGAGTGAAAGTCAACTGAACAAATTCACATTTTTCCTTAATTTATTTTCAGGAATGCATATGATCCAGATCGTCTATTTCGTCCAGGTACAGGAACTAAGGACATATATGTGCCTTATGATCAGGCTACATATGGATGCCCAATGGCAGTACATTTTGAATCTCCTTGGGTGCCAACACTACAGCTGTGAGTTTTTGAAAATATCCATTTAAGTAAAAATGTCACAAACTAAATAAATTGTGAATAACGTTTGAGTACATCTATTTTAATAGACAATAGAATAGCAAAGAATCAAGTGTTACACCTGAGAGAAAGGAACCTGAACAATGAAAAGAGAGGTCAATAGTAAATGCACAACTTGGAGTGACAGTGAGACATACTAAGCAGGAAGTTTCCAGTTTGAAGGTTTCTAATTTGCTGGGTTACCTGATCTAAGCCTAGATGCCAATGAGGCAAGTAGAGTACACTTAGTTTATTGTTGTTGGACCAGGGTTGGGGAAAATCATCCAGTTTTGCCATCTCGATTATTGTCAAATTAGTCCCATTTGAGAGTTCTTAGGTGCATTTTTTTCCTGAAGGCAGAATGAAATTTGTGATGTATCACAGTTTTCAAATAACCTGCCAACATTCACTGAAGAATGGCCACTTTGCAAGGTAGCTGCTGCTTGCTGTTGGAAAGTCTTGCTTCACAAACCCTAGAGTTCTTTGAAAACAAAACTAAGAGAATAGAAAAGGTAGTGGATGTGGCATACTTAGATTTTCACATTTTGATAATGTGCCGCAAAAAGGCTATTTTGAAAAAAATTTGGTTGCGGAGCATTAATAGAAAAGTTGCAGAATGAATAGAAATTAATTAAAGAATAGGAGTACCGGGTTGATAGTCACAATGGGGAGATGGAAATAGTCAAATGCGTTTCTCCATTTGTATAAATTATCTTGATTCCGGTATTAAGGGCACAATTGCTAAGTTTGCAGGTGACACAAAAATAGGGAGTGTAGCTCACAGTGAAGAAGACTGTGAGCAACTTCAGGGGAACACAGACAGATTAATTGATTGGGCAGAGAAATGGCAAATAATAATAATAATTCTTGCATTTAGTAGAGCACTTTATCACATTGTTGAGACTTCTCGAAGTGCTTCACAGAATATACGGTAAAGTGAATTGACTGTATTTTGAGGACGAAACATGGCAGCTAATTGCACACAACAGTGTCTGCAGTTTTTTGGAAATATCAAGTTGTTGAGACGACTCAAAGTGCTTCACAGAATATACGCTAAATTGAATAGACTGCATATTTTGTGGGTGAAATGCAGTAGTATAATAGTAACATAATATAATAGTAATAGGTAGTATAATAGCAGTGAAACGCACAGCGGTATCCCACAAACAGTCATGAATTGAGTGACTAAATTTACCGCTGGAATACGATCCGCCAATCGACTAATAACCAGGTTCCTATTTACTGCTAGGTAAACAGAGATGTGTGGAGTATGGAAACTTGCCTAAGGTTTTGCTCCGCCCCGGATTCAAACCCACTTGCGAGGAGAGCGCGCTAACCACTGAGCTACAACAACAACAACAAGATTTCATTTATAGAGCGCCTTTCACGTCGGGAGGACGTCCCAAGGCGCTGGACAGTTGGGTCGGGACTCGAGCATTGGGGGGAAATGGTCAGGGTGAGGGGAGGGAAGGGAGGGAGCGAGGAGGGGGGAAATGGACAGGGTGAGAGGAGGGAAGGGAGGGAACGAGGAGGGGGTAGAGAGTCGAGAGGGGAGCTGAAGGCTCGGTCAAAGAGAAAGGTCTTGAGACCGGCCTTGAAGGAGGAAAGGGAGGAAGCGGCGAAGGCACAGGGGGATGGAGTTCCAGAGCCTCGGGGCTGAGAGGCTGAAGGCCCGGCCACCGATGGTAGGGCGGTTAGGGTGGGGGATGTGGAGCAGACCGGAGCCAGAGGAACGGAGGGTACGGGCAGGTAGGTAGGGGGATAGTAGGTCAGAGAGGTAGGAGGGAGCGAGGCCGTGAATGGCCCTGTAGGTGAGGCTGAGGATCTTGAATTCGATCCTCTGGGGGATGGGGAGCAGTGGAGGCGAGCGAGGGCGAGGGTGGGAGTGAGGGTGAGGGTGGGAGTGATGTGGGCGCGGTGTCTGGTGCGGGACAGTACACGAGCTGCAGAGTTCTGAATGACCTGTAGTGTGGAGGGAGGGCCGGGAAGGCCGACGAGGAGAGAGTTCCCATAGTCCAGCCTTGAGGTGATAAAGGCGTTTCAGCCGCGTGAGGGGTGAGGTAGTGCCATAGTCTGGCGACATTCCGGAGGTGATGGAAGGCGGTGTCAGTTGTGGTGCGGATATGAGGAAGAAAGTACAGCTCAGGGTCGAACATAACACCGAGGTTCCTGATGGCTTTGAGAGGTGGAGAGTGCAGCCTTGGAGCTGATGCTGTCAGCGCCTGAGGTGCGGAGGCGCTGACGTGAGCCAATCAGGAGGGCCTCAGTTTTGCGCACGTTGAGCTGAAGAAAGTTGTCTTTCGTCCAGGACTCGATGTCGAACAGACAGCTGTCAGGACATCGGGGGTCGTGGAGTTGAGGGTAGAGGAGAAAAGGTAGAGTTGGGTGTCATCCGCATACATGTGGAAGTTAACCCCATGTCTGCGGATGAGGTCACCACAGGGGGAGCGTATAGAGGGTGAAGAGGAGGGGACCGAGGACAGAGCCCTGAGGGACACCACATGAGACAGTACGGGGGGTGGAGGAAAAGCCGTTTGTGGAAACAAAATGAAGACGGTGGGAGAGGTATGACCTAAACCACTCAAGGACAGGGCCTTGAAGGTTGAGGTGGGAGGACAAGCGGTGGAGGAGGATAGCGTGGTCGACCGTATCGAATGCGGCCGATAGGTCGAGGAGGATGAGGAGGCAGAGGGAGCCCTGGTCGCAGATAGTCAAGATGTCGTTGGTGACCTGGACCAGGGCAGTTTCTGTGCTATGGGCAGCACGGAAACCCGACTGAAGGGGTTCGAATAATGAATGGGTGGAGAGGAAAGAGCGCAGTTGGGAGGAGACGACTCTTTCAAGGACCTTGGACAGGAAGGGGAGGTTGGAGATGGGCCGGTAGCTTGATAGCTGCGATGCATCAAGGGAGGGTTTTTTTCAAAGTGGTGGCAGTTTTTATGGGAATTGGAACAGAGCCAGAGGAGAGGGACAGGTGGGGGGTGGAAGTTGGAGGGGCAGTGACCGCGGAGCGGATTCTCTTGATTATGGATTCGAGGAAATCCAGCATCTCCTCGCAGTGAAGCTTGGAGGAGATAACCTGCGCGGGGTGGCGGGGGGGACGGAGGAGTTGGGATGTGGTAGAGAACAGAAGCCTGGGGTTGTTCTTCGCCTCCAGGATTATCCTGGAGTAGAAGGACGACTTGGCCGAGGCTAGAGTGGAGCTACAAGACTTAATCTCGGGAAACAGAAACATAACATAACATAACATGTAATAGCAGGAGTAGGCCATTCGGCCCTTCGAGCCTGCCCCGCCATTCAATCATGGCTGATCTTCTAATCTAACTCCAGCTAATACCATAACCCTGCCTTATCCCCATATCCCTTAATCCCTTTTGCAATAAGAAATCTATCCGTCTCAGTCTTGAATATCTTTAAGGACTGAGTGTCAACAGCCCTTTGGGGTAGCGAGTTCCATTCATTCACCGCCCTTTGAGTGAAGAAGTTCTTCCTCAACTCAGTGCGAAAGGGATGGCCTCTGATTTTAAGTTGTGACTCCTGGTTTTAGTTTCTCCAACCAGGGGAGACAATCTCCCACTATCTACTCTATCATGTCCTTTCATGATCTTATAGGTTTCTATAAGATCCCCTCTAATTCTTCTATATTCTCGAGAGTATAAGCCCAAATTGGTCAGCCTCTCCTCGTAACTCAACCCTTCATCCCTGGCACTAACCTAGTAAATCTACGCTGCACCCCCTCCAAGGCCTTCCTTAAATGAGGAATATTCCAGGTGTGGTCTCATCAGGGCCCTATACAGTTGCAGCAAGACTTCCCTACTCTTATACTCTAATCCTTTCATAATGAATGCTAACGTACCGTTCGCCTCATTGCTGCTGCACCTGCAGACTAACTTTCTGTGATTGGTGTACAAGGACACCCCAAGTCCCTCTGGACACTAACACATTCCAATCTCTCCCCTTCTAAAAAATAACCCGCTCTACTGTTTTTGCTACCCAGGTGGATGACTTCGCACTTCCCTACATTATACTTCATCTGCCACCTACCTGCCCAATCACCTATCTATGTCGCGCTGCATTTTTTTAATGTCATCCTCAGTGTTGACACTTCCTCCTCGTTTTGTGTCATCCGCAAATTTAGATATATTAACTTCGATGTCCTCATTTAGATTGTTGAAGTAGATGGTAAATAGCTGAGGCCCAAGGACTGATCCTTGTGGCCCTCCACTAGTCACATCCCGCCAATCTGACAAGGACCCGTTTATCCCTACTCTTTGTTTCCTACCTGTTAACCATTCCCCAATCCACGTTAATATGCTCCCCCCAATTCCATGGGCCCCTATCTTTTGGACTAACCTTTTATGCGGCACCTTATCGAATGCCTTCTGGAAGTCCAAATAGACCACATCCACTTATTCACCCTTATCTAGTTTACTGGAAATGTCTTCAAAAAACTTATGAGATTTGTCAAACATGACTTCCCTTTTGTAAAGCCGTGTTGACTTGGCCTAATTATATTGTGCAATAAATACCGTGCTATCCTTAATCAATGATTCTAAATTTTTTCCTATCACTGATGTGAGACTAAATGCCTATAGTTCCCCATCTTTTCCTTTCCACCTTTTTTAAATAGTAGTATGACATTTGCAATCTTCCAATCCATGGGGACTGTTCCAGAATCCAAGGAATTTTGGAAGATCATCCACAAGGCCTCCACTATCTCATAAGCTCCTCTTTTAAAACCCTGGGATGCAAACCATCCGGACCAGGGGATTTGTCACTTTTTAGTGCTAACAGTTTCCCGAGTACCAATTCTCTACTAATGAAAATTTCCCTAAGTTGCTCCCTGTCCTTATCCCTTTGGTGCATCTCTATTGTTGGTAGACTTGTTGTGTCTTCTCGGATGAAGACAGATGCAAAGTACCCATTTAGGGACTCTGCCATGTCCTTATCCCCCATTACAACTTCTCCCGTCTCTGACTGAAGTGGACCTACATTTACCCTCACAGCCTATTCCTCTTAATATATTTGTAAAAACTTTTACAATCAGACTTAATGTTCCTCGCGAGCTTACTCTCATACTCCTTTTTCTCGCTCCTAATTAGTTTTTTAGGTTTTTTTTGCTGGTTTCTAAAACTCTTCCAATCTTCAGATTTGCTGCTTTTCTTGGCAGTTTTATAAGCCTTTTCTTTTAATTTGATGCTTTCCCTAACGGTTCTAGTTAGCCACGGATGAATTGCTTTCCCTGTGGTACTCTTATTCCGCAAGGGAATATACGACCGCTGAGAATTTTGCACTACATCCTTAAATATTTTTACCTCTTAATCTTATTCTCCAGTCTATTTTACCTAAATCTTTCCTCATACCTACAAAATTAGCCCTATTTAAATTCAGAATACTTGCCTCATATTTAACTATTTAATGCAGAATTCAATCATATTGTGATCACTCTGCCCTCGAGGATTCTTAATACCTACATTGCCAACTCGCTCTGTTTCGTTACACAAAACAAGGTCTAGGGTGGCCGGTCCCTTTGTTGGTTCCTCGGCTGCTTCAGAAAGTTATCTCTCATACATTCAATGAACTCTTGTTCTGACCTACTTTTGCCGATTTGGTTTTCCCAATCTATGTGGAGATTGAAATCACCCACTATTATCGCTTTACCTTTCCTACATGTGCTCCACTGATTTCTTGATTCATACCCTGTGCTATATTGTGATCGCTGTTTGGGGGTCTATAAACCACTCCCATTAATATTTTCTGCCCTTTATTATTTTTTATTTCCACCCATATTGTCTCGACCTCCTGGTTATCGGATTTCAGATCCTTCCTCTCCACTGCTTTTATTTCATCCCTAATTAACAGGGCTACTCCCCCACCTCTTTTCCCACAGTGCCTATCTTTCCTGTAAACTGAGAACCCTGGAATATTTAACTCCCACCCTCGATCTCTTTGTAACCATGTTTCAGTGATGGCTACTAGATCGTACCCATATGTGTCTATTTGTGCTTTTAATTCATCAGTTTTATTCCGAATGCTTCGCGCATTCAGATATAACATTTTTAATTTCCTACCATTTCCTCTACTCTCTGATTCCTTCTCTACTTTGCCAAGCTTCTTACCCCTAGTTAACATATTCCTATTATCTGGCATGCTATTCTGTACTATCGTCTTTACTTTTTCTCGTGCTAACATCTAGTTTCTCTTACCTATATATTCCCCCCCCCCCTTACTAGTTTAAATTCCTATTTATTTCCCTGTTAATTTGGTTAGCTAGGACATTTGTCCAAGCACGATTTAAATGCAGCCCTTTTCTCTGAAAGAGCTCTCTTTTCCCCCAATACTTGTGCCAATGGCCCATAAAAAGAAAGCCCCGATTTCTGAACCATTCTTTTAGCCATGCGTTCAAGTCCTTAAGTTGTTTGTTCCTGTACCGATTGTCGTATGGTACAGGCGGTAGTCCCGATATTACCACCTGCGATGATCTCAACTTTAATTTGGGCCCTAGCTCTTCGAATTCCCTTCTCAAGTCATCTTGGCCTACTCTACCGGTGTCATTGCCTTTGTGAAGTAGGACCGATGGATCCCTGCCCTCATATTTTAAATTATCCTCTAGCCCTGCCGAGACATCCTTCAGCCTGGCCCTAGGGAGGCAGCAAAGCCTTCTGGTCTTCTGGTTGGTGTTGCACATGATTGTGTCTATCTGCCTAATAGTCTCATTCCCAATGACGACAACCATCCGCTCGTTTGCCCCAGTGTTAGAGGTAGTATTTCCTTCCACCTCACCGGCTTCCTTGTCGATACAGGTTCCAAGGATCTCATACCTGTTGTTCAAGGTTAATGCCGGATTTACTACCACTCTTTCCGTTGTCCCCCTGACCTCCTGACTGTCCATTGACCTATCCTGACCATAATCAATGTTGAGTGTATATTCTCTCAGGGGAGTGACTGGCTCCAGGATGTAGCTATCCCGGAAACACTCATTGTCTCTGATACTCCGCAGTGTCTGTACCTCGGATTCCAGCTCCGCCACTCTGACACTCTGAGCTGCCTCAATTGCAGACATCTTCTGCAGATGTGGTCACCCGGGGTCAGACAGCCCTCCGTCAGCTCCCACATGGCACACTCCTCACACCTGGCGCACACCTGCCTCGGCCATTGTTACCTCTTCCAACCTGAGTTAGTTAATTAGTTAACTTAAGTTAGTTAAGTTAATTGGGTTAAGTTAATTAAGTTTTAATTTAATCAAGTTGATCCAATTAAGTTGATCAAGTTAAGTCTGTGGTGTGTGATGTGTTAATAGTTGTTAGTTTACTGTTGATACTGACATCGCTCTGACGTCACTTTTTAATTTTCTCGCTTTTTTTTTATCCTCTGACACTGCCTGCTCTCTTCCAATAAGTTAGTGGTTTGCCATCTACTCACCCCCCTACCCACCAGACATACAAACACACAGACTCCTCCAGGAATATGCCGACCCAGACTGTAAACTCAAAGTCCCCGACATGGGGTTTGAAACCACTTAATTCTCGTTGATGAAAGTGCAGGCGAGACTCGGAGACTTGAGCCAAGCTTTAATATTAAAGAGAGATTAAAAAAAAGCACGTAATAATAATCCTTGCACCTTATCACATCATTGAGTGTTTTGCCCACAAAATATACAGTCAATTCACTTTACAATATATTCTGTGAAGCGCTTTGAGATGTCTTGAAGACACGATAAGGTGCTAAATCAAATGCAAGCATAATTATTACTATTATTGAGATGTCTCAAAGTGCTTCATACCACAAAATGAATTGACTGTATTTTGTGGGTGAAATGCGTCAGCCAACAGTCGGTGATTGAATAACTAAATTATTAGTATTATTATTACTTTTTTTAAAAATTTGGAGGGATGATTACCCCCAGAAAGCGATCCGCCAATCAACTAACAACCAGGATCCTACTTACTGCTAGGTCCGTGGAGTAGGAAATTTGCCTAAGTTTTCTTATTCACCTTATCCAATAGAAAAGACTGATTGCAATACATTCACTGTCTGTTGGAGCAAAGCAGGTTGAGGAATGACCTGATCGAGGTCTTTAAAATGCTGAGGTGTTTTGAAAGTCAATAGGGAAATATTATTTCCACTGGCCAATGAGTCATTAACTAGAGGGCATCAGTTTAAGATTGTTAGTAAACAAGAAAACGGGGATGTTAGGAGAATTGTTTTCATAATAATAATAATCCTTGCATTTAATCTAGCGCCTTATCAATGTAATGATGTTATCACATCATTGAAACATCTCAAAGTGCGTTACAGGATAAACTGTAAAGTCGACAAGGTATACTGTAAAGTGGTGAAACACGGCAGCCAGTGTGTGCACAGCAGTGTCCCAAAAACAGCCATGAAGTGAGTGACCAATTTTATTTGGAACTATTGGCCAGGACACAGGGAGAAACTCTTTTTCTTTTGAATAATGCCAAAAAGATCTTTAATGTCCAACAGCGGACATGACCTCTGAAAGTACAACACACCTCAAGCACTGATTTGAAGTACCAGCTTAGATGATATGATTCCAATTCTTAGATGTGGAGTCCTGTAGCTCAGTGGTTAGAGCACTCGCTTTGCAAGTGAGAGACCTGAGTTCAATTCCAGGCAGAGGGCGAAACCTTGGGCAAGTTTCCTTACTCCACACAGAGCCTAATAATAATCCCTCCAAAAACCAAAAACAATAATAAATTGGTCATTTTCAATCTACGACTGTTTGTGGGACATTGCTGTGCGCAATTGGCTGCCGCGTTCGCCCACAAATATACAGTCAATTCACTTTACAGTATATTCTGTGAAGCGCTTTGGGACGTCCTCCCGACGTGAAAAGCGCTATATCAAATGCAAGGATTATTATTATTATTATTATTATGTGGGGTATGAACCTAAAACCTTCGACTCAGGCGAGAGCGCTACCACTGAGCCAGGCTGACACCTGAGTCTGATATGGAATATCCTGCTGAATGCGGTGGTTGAGGCAGAATCCAAAAGGGAGTAAACCACAACAGCAACTTGCATTTATATAGCGCCCTTCACCTTAGACAGTTTGTCAGAGCACTTAGACTACAGGATTATGGGCAAAAGTCAGGAAAATGAGACTGAAAGGATCACTCTTAAAAGAGTGATCAAGAGTGGTCCAAAGACACGATGGACCGAATGGCCTTCTGTTCTGTAAATTTCTATGGTTCTAAGGGGAAACAAAAAAAAGGAAGAAAATTATGAAGTATATTGTGGGAATGAAGCTCTTAAAGATATGCTTCATTCAATCGTACTTTTCTTTTTAATGTTATTTCAGGTGGGTGGATGGAAAATTTATAGAGGACATCAAAGTGGAATTTGTAATATATGAAGTGAATGGAATGTTCAATTATAACTACGATAAGCGGGTGTCACAAATTAATTGTTTATCTGAGCCACAAACCTGGAAATCCATGTTAAGCAAACAGAAGAATCCTAATCCAGACACTGCGTGGAATGCAAAGGTAACGTCTTATAAAACATTGTAATACTTATTTCTACCAAAGTGTAATACCTTGTTCATCTTGTTGAATATTATTTGCCATTTTTCTGCCCGATTGTATAACCAATTTGGTTGCAACTTGTTCCCCTCATTTTGATTAGGGTAACATTTTCCACAACAATTATGTTGTGTTCCTCTGAGTAAGGGGACCAACTTAAAATACTAAATTAATGTTTTTGTGCTATGACCCAAGCCCATGAGGGCACGTTCATTCAACAGTCTGGGATGGTGGGGGGCAGAAATCATGTCTATCTCACTGGTTCTGGACCTCAATAAAGTGATTCACTATAAATAGTAAGGTTCTTATACTATAACTATCCTTTACAGTAATTTAGTACTTCCAATTGATACCTTTGGTGACCTTTGTCGTTTTCTGTGTTTGTAATTACGAGGAATGATAGAAATGCTCTTTTTTGTACATTTTCTCAAGGAAACATTTATTTCTTTGAAATTTGAGATTTTCTGAATAAGATTCCTTTTGTTTTCACTTTGAAGAATTACCATAGTTGTCAGGACCCTTTAGGTCCACGGATCACTGACGGCAACAGGGAGTTCCAGATTATGGGTGGGGGAAATGGAAATCGCATCTTGTTTCAAAAATACACTGGTTTTTACATTTTCAGAGTGATTGTGGTCAACCCAACATACAGGTAGGGCAAAGGATTTCACTAAAGCTTATGTTTCCTTTTCAATACTTTATTATGATAATAATCCTCGCATTTAATACAGCACCTCATCACATCATCGAGACATCTCAAAGTGTTTCACAGAATATTCTACAAAGTGCAGAGACTGAGTATTTTATGGACTTGTATTGGATCCAATTCATTGTCGTCAACCAAATGAATTCTGAGAGTGTGCTTAATTTCTGAAGCGCATCAGATCTTCCCTCCACAAGCTGCAGATTATTCAAAACTCTGCGATCTCCTCAAACCCTACTAACCCTTTGCTCAGCGAGCACCAGCCAGCTTCATGTCCTCCACGCTTTTTGCCCCACAATCAGTCTTTCAGCCTTTCAGCCTTTTCAGCCTTTTCAGCCTGTACAGCGCCTTGGGACGTCCTCCCGACGTGAAAGGCGCTCAATAAATGGAATCTTGTTGTTGTTGTTTCCGCCCCAACTCTTTGGACCTCTATCCTTGAGTCCCTCAACTTGCTCCCTCCCTCACTTTGTTGAAGGTCTGTCTCAAGACCTACCTCTTTGACTGTGCTTCGATCATTTTTCCCCTTGCCTCCCACCCCCAGCTCCATTAAGCGCTTTGTGACATCCTCCTAATGTGAAGGGACTATATAAATGTATTGAACAAATGTAAATTTGTATTTTAACTACAACAACAACAAATAGCTTGTGTCCTCTCCCACTCTAGGCTCTGCGAACCAATCACTCCCGTTCTTGCTCAGCATCACTGACTCCCCATCCCTCAATTATCAAGTACAAAACCCTTGTTCTCAACTTCAAAGCCTTCAAGGTTTTGCTCCCCTTTACCTCTCCGAACTCCTAACCCCATATCAGCCTGTCTGTTCCCTCCGCTCAGCCTGTTTTAGGTCCCCCACACTTCGCAACTCACTATTGGTGGTTGGGAATTCAGCATCTCTGCCCCCACACTCTGGAACTCTATCCCGCAATCCCTCCACCTCAGCCCCCCTCTCTTACCTCCTTCAAGTCCCATCTGTATTTTAACTACAACAACAACAACAAATAACTCTTGTATTGTGCCCTTCACATCGGAAAGACATCCAGGACACTGGACAATCAGTTTTTGGACCTGAGCTGGGAGTTGGGCTCAGGAGGGGTGGATGGCAGAAGGATGGGAGAGTGGCCGAAGGCACGTTCGAAGAGGAAGGTCTTCAGATGGGACTTGAGAGGGGGGGTGGGAGGCAAGGGGAAAAATGATCGAAGCACAGTCAAAGAAATAGGTCTTGAGACAGACCTTCAACAAAGTGAAGCAAGTTGAGGGTTTTCAAGGATAGAGGTCCAAAGAGTTGCGGCAGAAAGGCTGAAAGACTGATTGTGGGGCAGAAAGCGTGGAGGACATGAAGCTGGCTGGTGCTCGCTGAGCAAAGGGTTAGTAGGGTTTGAGGAAATCGCAGAGGTAGGATGGGAGGAAACCATGGAGGGATTTAAAGGTGAAAAAGATGATCATAACTCAATCTGCTGAGGGATGGGGAGCCAATGGAGCTGAGTTAGGGGGTAGTGGTGCAGGAAAGGACATCCTGCAGCTGTGGAGGGAAGATCTGTGGAGTCCGGCAAATGGGGCAATGGAGTATTCAAGCCTGGATGTGATAAATGCATTGGATGAGGATCCTAGTGGCCCAAGACGGAGATGGATAATGTTTGAGAGGTGGGATAAAGCTGAGCAGGTCGGTTGGGAGTCAAAACATTGAAGTTCCACATTGCAATGTCTGAGGTGAGAAGGTGCAAATGGGAGTCAAGTAGAAGAGAACCTCTGTCTTGTCTTGTTGGGTCCGAAACTCTGTCTGTCCAGCGCCTTGGGACATCTTCTCGACGTGAAAGGCGCTATACAAATTAAATTTTGTTGCTGCTGCTGTTGTTGTCGACGAAGTTCAATGTTAGAGCTCATCCAGAACTTGATATGTGACAGGTAATCAGTCAGAACAGCTGTGGTACTGGAATCAAGGGGCAGGCAGTGAGGTAGAGTTGGGGTGTCATCCGCATTTATGTCTATGACAGTGTTTAAAAAGTGAGGAACTCTGTGTGTGACTGTGCAGGAGCCATTAGAAGAGACAGAATGGACACAATGGGATAGGTAAAAAGCAGGGCCGGATTAACCAACAAGCCAGTTGAGCCGTGGAGGTCTGAGGGGCCCCGGATATTAATATTATTGACACCTTTACTTCCCAGCTGCGCCTCTCATCCCATCGCCGTCCGCTATGAGACTGCGCGGTGAGCAACAGCAAGAGTCATACCTCCAGCTCTGCCCCTCTTACTGTGACTGACTGCTGCCTTGTGTTTCGTACAGCCTGGTAAGGCCGTGCGTGAGTGACAGCAGTAAGGGAAGAGCTGGAGATATGAGTGATATCTCCAGGAGTTCAGAACAGGTCAGAGGCAGCGTGTAGATAAGGAACCATGGCTAGCACCATGGCTATCTTAGTGACGCTGAAAAAAGATTTGGTGCAGACAGTATTGATGAATTTGTGCACTTTCTGGATTTCATATCACATATCAGGTGTGAGAAAACTCTGTATCACATACCTTTGTGTGTTTCTGTGTATGTGACTCTCTCTGTTTGTGTCTCTGTATATATCTCTCTCTGTGTCAGTGTTCGTCTCTGTATCTTTCCCTCTTTCTGTGTCTCTGTATCTGTCTGTATGGTTCTCTGTGCCTCTGTGTCTATCTCTCTCTCTTCCTCTGTCTGTGTGTGTCTCTCCTGTTACTGATTTGAAAGTAATTAACAGGTTCTGCTGCTAACCAGCGCTTTGTGCTGCTGTTTTTTCCATTGGGTCAGACCAAGCCTGGGCTCCTGACATAACAATTACAACAAAATTACATTTGTATAGCACCTTTCAAGTCGTGAGGACCAGTGCTTCGAACCGAATATTATTGAGGTCTTTTGAACTAAATTGTTTTGATAGTTTTCCTCACTATTAAGATTCCTGGCATGGATTCAGTTAGTGTATCTAATAATAATCTCTGCATTATGTGTTGCATTGCATACAAAATATCACCTTTCTTAGACCATAATTACACCGATCAAGCACTCACATAAAGCATTTTGTTGTGTTTTCAGTACCTTGAGATCCCCCCCGATGTGAAAGGCGCTACATAAATGCAATTTGTTGTTATTTTTGTTGTGTTGACAATATAGATATTCGGTGACATTTTATGTGTTTTTGTGAGGCAATATTGACTTTAAGGCAGAAGTTTTTTACTTGTGACAATATAGTGATAGATTTTGAATGCTGTGCGCATGTGAGCATTATTGAGAGTGTGGGACTGGGAGTGTAAAGTGTGTATATATGTTTGTGTTGGTGTAGATGTGCGTAAGTGTTAGAATGTGTGTATGAGTGTTAGAGTCTGTGTTTGTGTATGTGTGCGTATGTAAGTGTATGTGTTTGTTAGAATGTATGTGTATGGGTGAGTGTGTGTTGGAGAGTGTTTGTGTTGGAGTGCGTGTATATGTGTTTGCAACAAGTGCTGAATTTTGGGTTAAATTCTCAGGATTTTGTTGAAAATCTTTTTTTCTTAATCACGTATTGATGTAGAAGAGTTGTACATTATTTAATTTGTGTCTTTGTTCCTCTTCTTTTGCAGTTTCTGTCATCTTACTGCCACATTCAGTGTCTACGTGTTTGGGGCCGCTCCGATGTCCGCCTACTCATCAGAACTTTTGCTGGCACTTTTCATTATTTTCCTGACCACAATGGTTTTTATTGGGTTTTGTCTGTTCAACTTGAAAACAAGGCTAAAGAAAACTGATATCATTATAAAGGTTCAGCAACATCCATCACAATAATCTTGTAGGTGTTGACGAGGCCCGTTGTAGCACTAAAATTAGATAGTGCAGGATTTACTATCTCTCCACTTACCTGTAAAAGAGAAAAATATAAATAATATCACTTTTTTGGAGTCAAGTGAAGACATTTTAGAGTTCAGAAAATTTAAACCACTTGTAGTTAGTTCTATAGTCGATAGAACAAAGTTGTTCAGTGTTGTAGCTTACCTTCAGTTAAGCAAACCTCGTAACTTTTAACCTTTTGGAAAAAATTTAAAAGAAGTAATATTTTAAATGGAGAAAATAAATAAATACAAAGCCTATCTTGCTTGTCCAGATGGATTTTGATGTTACAACAACAACAATTTGAATTTTTATAGCGGCCTCCACGTGAGGTAGCGTCCCAGAGTGCTTGACAGTGGCGGAGTCTGACCCCAAGCCAGGCGGAGAGGGAGGAGGAAGGTGACTATAAGCACAATCAAAAAGAAGGTCTTTAGGTGGGATTTGAAAGTGGGGAGGGAGGGGGCAGAAGGATTGAGGGAGGGAGATCCAGAGCTTCGGGACGTAGTGGCTGAAGGCATGGCCACCAATGGTGGAGCGGAGGGGACGAGCGGCAAATAGGAGACGGAGCCAGTTGAGCGGTGGCAGCAGTTGGTGGAGTGAAGGGTTACCGAATTGGATAGTTAGGGAGGTGCCAGAGCATGAAGAAATTTGAAAACAAGTGAAAGGATCTTGAAGTCGATCCATTTGGTGATTGGTAGCCAGTGTAGCCTGGCAATGGCAAGGGTGATGGAGTGGGGGTCCAGAGTTTTGTGCGGGTGAGTATCCGGGTGGTGGAGTTTTGAATTAATTGCATTTTGTGTAACATAACAAACATAACATAACATGTAGGAGCAGGAGGAGGCCATTCGGCCCTTCGAGCCTGCCCCACCATTCAATCATGGCTGATCTTCCAATCTAACTCCAGCTAATACCATAACCCTGCCTTATCCCTATATCCCTTAATCCCTTTTGCAATAAGAAATATATCTATCTCAGTCTTGAATATGTTTAAGGACTGAGTGTCAACACCCCTTTGGGGTAGTGAGTTCCATACATTCACCGCCCTTTGAGTGAAGAAGTTCTTCCTCAACTCAGTGCGAAAGGGATGGCCTCTGATTTTAAGGTTGTGACCCCTGGTTTTAGTTTCTCCAACCAGGGGAGACAATCTCCCACTATCTACTCTATCATGTCCTTTGATGATCTTATAGGTTTCTATAAGATCATCATAGATCATTCTATAAGATCCCCTCTAATTCTTCTCTATTCTAGAGAATATTGGCCAGAGAATTGGTCAGCCTATCCTCGTAACTCATCCCCTTCATCCCTGGTACTAACCTAGTAAATCCACACTGCACCTCCTCCAAGGCAAGTACATCCTTCCTTAAATAAGGAGTCCAAAACTGGACACAGTATTCCAGGTGTGGTCTCATCAGGGCCCTATACAGTTGCAGCAAGACTTCCCTACTCTTATACTCTAATCCTTTCATAATGAATGCTAACGTACCGTTCGCCTCATTGCTGCTGCACCTGCAGACTAACTTTCTGTGATTGGTGTACAAAGACAACCCAAGTCCCTCTGGACACTAACACATTCATGTATAGTGTATGGTGTTGCTGGGGAGACAAGTGAGGAGGACATTTGAAAAGTCCAGCCAGGAAGTGACAAAGGCCTGGATGAGGATTTTAGGGTCAGGACCTTGAAATTGAGCTGCTGGGAATCAGGGAGGAAAGGGTGGATCTGTGGTTGAGTCTGAGGTTTGTAAATTCATCAAAAACACATATTAAGTTGAAACCTCACGTTGGGCTCACAATCTATGCTGACACTCCAGTGCTGGGATCGCTTCATCGTTGGAAGTGCCATCCTTAAGATGTGAGGGTCAATACGGTAGTAATGGCTCACATACAGAGAGCAAGTGGAACCTTTGGTAGATTGTCCACGCGTGTTTGGAATCAGTATGGTGTCAAGGTTGCTCCTAAACTGAAAGTTTAATAAGGCAGTTGCTCTTTACAATCTCCTGAATGGATGTGATGCACAGACACTGTATAGAAGGTACACTCAACTGGAACGTTTCACCAAAGACACCTTTCATATCTGGAAATACTAACATGCAGAGTAAAAAAATGATCAACGGCATTAGTGTCAGGTTGTCAAAAAACATGGTGTTAATAAAAATATCTATTTACAACATTTATGTCTCCATACAATTATGTAGTTCAATTCCAGGCAGGGCGAAACCTTGGGCAAGTTTCCTTACTCCACACGCCTAATAATAATCCCTCCAAAAAACAAAAAAACAATAATAAAATTGGTCATTTTCAATCTACGACTGTTTGTGGGACATTGCTGTGCGCAATTGGCTGCCGCGTTCGCCCACAAATATACAGTCAATTCACTTGATTTCAAGATCCTCATCCTCACCTACAAGGCCATTCACGGTCTTGCTCCCTCCTACCTCTCCAACCTACTATCCCCCTACCTACCTGCCCGTACCCTCCGTTCCTCTGGCTCCGGTCTGCTCCACGTCCCCCGCCCCAACCGCCCTACTATCGGTGGTCGGGCCTTCAGCCTCTCAGCCCCGAGGCTCTGGAACTCCATCCCCCAGTGCCTTCGCCTTGCTTCCTCCCTTTCCTCCTTCAAGGCCGGTCTCAAAACCTTTCTCTTTGACCGTGCCTTCAGCTCCCCTCTCGACTCTCTTCCTCCTCCTCGCTCCCTCCCTTCCCTCCCCTCACCCTGACCATTTCCCCCTCCTCTCTCCCTCCCTTCCCTCCCCTCACCCTGACCATTTCCCCCCTGCTCGGGTCATGACCCAACTGTGCAGCGCCTTGGGACGTCCTCCTGACGTGAAAGGCGCTCTATAAATGGAATCTTGTTGTTGTTGTTGTTGTTTACAGTCTATTCTGTGAAGCGCTTTGGGACGTCCTCCCGACGTGAAAAGCGCTATATCAAATGTAAGGATTATTATTATTATTATTATTATTATGTAGTGTTTTTCCATCCTATAGCTCCCAAGCTCTCTCTTGCTGACTTCACTGCCCGAGCAGACTAGCCTGACTAAGAGTTATCTCAGACCATGTGTGAGAGGGAAATAGAGTGGGATTCCTGCTGGTACATTCGCAGGGTATATTATGCTCTCAACAAACAGTGTGTGGAACACCTTTTTGTATTTCAGCTCGCCATTTCATAGAATCATAGAATTATACAGCATAGGAGACCATTTGGCCCGTCGTGTCTGTGCCGGCTTTTTGAAAAGAGCTTCCAAATCAATCCCACTCCCCCACTCTCTCACCATAGCCCTGTAAACTTGTTCTCCCCAAATAATGATCTACTTATTTTTAAAAGGTGCTATACAAATGTAATTTTGTTGTTGTTATCGAAGCGGTTCCATCAGCTTTTCAGGCAATCCAAATCCAAAACACTCACTGTGTGAAAAAAAATTCCCCTCCCCTCTGTTTCTTTTAATGACTATTTTAAATCGATGTCCATGGGTTACTGACCCACCCGCCAGTGGAAATAATTTCTCCTTGTTCATCCTATCGAATCATTTACAAAATCAAACAGTCCAACCAAAAACCGTCTACTCAATTCTCCTTCTTTTCTACCTCCTGATCCCCTTCCATTGGTTCTAGTCAATTGGTCCTTATTGTCTTAATGAGTATCCAACAGGGTAAAGAGAAGAGGGAAGGGGGGTAGAGGTCAATGTTGTGGCCTCCACTAACCTCAGAATAGCAGATTGCTTCACCGGAAACACCCCCTTGTGAAGGTCTATCCTCTTTCTATCTCCCCTCTCCAGAGTTTGTTGCTCCGCTAAGTGCTCCTAAATTTACAAATGACACCAAATTAGGTGGATTTGTGGAATCAAATGAGACAGCAAAGATCCTACAAAGAGAGCTTGATAGGGTTATACATGGGCTGATAAGTGGCAAATTAAATTTAATAGAGATAAATGCAAGGTACTTCATGCAGTGTCCAAGAATAATTCCTAAGCACACACTCGTATATCCAGCACCTGAAATCAGCATTAATTGATGTGCAGAGCGGTAAGCAGATACCGCTCAAGCTTAACACCTCCAACTGGTGGAACCATCACTCAAGGGAAGGGACGTGTGCCCGAACTACAGATAGGAAGATGGTGGCAATGTTCTCACATATTTCATGGGTCATTCGGGGAGAGGAGTCAGGACAGAGCGGAGGCGGAGCCTGGGCCTATCGAGCTGTATAAAAGGAACGGCTGAGGTAAGCTGGGAACTGTCGGAGCCACGAAAATATGAAAAAGTGCCGTTGGTGTGACATCATTTTCAACAGCAGAACCAGGGAGACATCGACAAACAAGGAACTGTCAGACACCACAACACTGACGACAAATAAAAACAAAAAATAAAAAATCCATATATATTGAAATCACTGTGAGAAGATGATGCGGCAAATGAAATTCGAGGAGTGTGACATGTGGGAGTTAATGGAGGGCCCTGAGCCCGGACAACTTCATCTGCAGCGAGTGTCTGCAAATCAGGAAGCTCCAGCTGAGAGGAGCTGAGCTGGAAGCCGAGGTGCAGACATTGCGCTCCATCAAGGACAGTGAGGGGTTCCTGGACAGTGTGATGGAGGAAACCATCACTCCCCTGGGGCTCGGGAGATGCTTGCATCGGGTTAATGGTCAGGAACAGGATAGTTTTATCAGTCCAGCAGATAATGAGACCCCTGAGAGAGTGGTGATGGAGCCTTGGGCTTCAAACTTGTACAACGGATGTGAGGATTTGATGGACCAGACACTTCAGGAGATGGTCACCCCACAGTCACCGGGGGTTCAGAGGGTAAGTATCTTTTTGATACCATTTTGTCCAGCCCGTCCCCTCTTCCTACCATGCTGGTGACTATCCATGGTAGGAAGAGGGGACGGGCTGGGCAAAATGCCCCCAACAGCGTAGAACTCTCAAACCGGTACTCTGTACTGAACATTTAGAGTGTTGATATCTCCAGGGAGGACAGTAAAAACAGATTGGTTGAACAGCGGGACATAGGTAACAGGAGCAATGCTGTTGTCATAGGGGATACAACAGTCAGAGGTACAGACAGACGTTTCTGCAACAGAAGACGGGAGTCAAGGATGGTATGTTGCCTCCCTGGTGCATTACAGAATGGGTGGATAAAATTCTTCAGGAGGAAAGGGAACATCCAGAAGTGGTGATCCAGGTTGTGATCCATGATATTGGTAAAAAAAAAAGGGGCTGAGATGCTACAGGGTCAATATCAAAAGCTGGGGAACAAACTAAAGAATAGAACATCCAAGGTGGGATCTCTGGATTGCTCCCTGTGCCTCGGGCAAATAAATACCATAATGGCAGGATCAAGCATATGAATGCTTGGCTGGAGAAATGGTCCAGAAAAGAGGGCTTCAGATTTCTGGTTCATTGGAACCAGTTCTGGGGCAGGTGGGACCTGTACCATATGGATGGGTTACACCTAAACAGGGCTGGGGCAAATGTCCTTGCAGACAGGCTAACTAATGCTGTAGGGGAGGGTTTAAACTAGTTTTGAGGTTGAAGGGAATCAAAAAAAACAATGGGCAAGAAAATGGAGAAATAAAACGGGGGGGAAGTGCAGAACAGGTCAAGTCGGTCTTGGAGTGCATGTGCCTAAATGCAGAGTTTAGCAAACAAGATTGGTGAGCTGCAGCTCAAGTGGTAACCGGGGGATACGATGTAGAAGCAGTAATAGAGACTTGGCTCAAACAAGGACAGGAATGGGAGCTGAATATTCCTGGCTATAATGTATTCAGGAGGGATAGGGAAGGAAATAAAGGAGGGGTTGTGGTATTGTTAATCAAGGATACCATATAGCCATGGAAAGGGTCGAGGTGCTGGAGGGCCCCAAAACGGAATCTATGTGGTTAGAGTTAAGGAACAAAAAAGGAGCTGTTACGCTGATAGGGGTATACTATAGACCACCAAATAGTGGGAAGGAAATAGATGAGCAGATCTGCAAACAGATCTCAGACAGATGCAAGGCCAATAGAGTCATGATAATGGGGGACTTTAATTATCCCAACATAGACTGGCAAAACAACAACGCAAAGGGCAAGGAGGGGGAAAGATTCCTAAAACGTGTACAGGACAACTTTCTTGATCAGTACGTTTCCAGCCCAACGATGAAGGAAGCAGTGCTGGATCTAGTTCTGGGGATTGAAGTCGGGCAAGTGGTGCAGGTTTCAGTGGGAGAGCATCGGGCAATAGTGATCACAACATCATTAGATTCAGAGTACATATGGAAAGAGACAAGGAACCATCAAAGGTGAAGATACTCAACTGGAAGAAAGTAATTTCAGTGAGTTAAAAAGGGAGTTAGTCATGGTGGACTGGAAAGAAAGATTGGCAGGTAAAACAACTAAAGAGCAGTGGGAAGTCTTCAAGGATGAGATAGTTCGGGGACAGAATAAATACATTACCACAAAAGGGAAAAGTAGGGCATCCAAACCTCCGTGGATGACGAAGGTAATTGTGTCTAGAATTAAGTAGAAAAAGGAGGCGTATGACAAATGTCAAACCCAAGACACAGAAGACAACCAAATAGAATATAGGAAGTGCAGAAGAGAACTGAAAAAGGAAATGAGGGGCAAAAAGATTATATGAGAAAAGGTTAGTGGGTAACATTAAAGGGAATCCAAAATATTTTACAAACGTATCAAGAAAAAAAGGTTAGTCAAAGGTAGGGTGGGGCCAATTAAGGACCAAGGGGGAAATCTTATTGTGTCCTGATGACAGCACTGACTGGCTGGCTCATCAGTTGGCCCAATAGAAAAGTGTGACTGCACTTTTTCAGCACTGCTACAAACCCGCTAAAAATGTAGTTTCTGGATCGCGGGCCTCGCATTGTTTACCTGACGTCACTGTGGGCAAACGCAAGCGGCTAATGGGCTTCACTCAGCGGCTCCGTTGTTGTGATTGTCTGTGTTTGTGTAAATGTGTGTCTCCTCTCTATGTGTGTTGACATGGGGTCAACTTCCACATGTATGCGGATGACACCCAACTCTATCTTTCTGCCCCCACCCTCAACTCCAGGACCACTGCTGTCCTGACAGACTGTCTGTCGGACATCAAGTCCGGGATGAGGGCAAATTTCCTACAGTTGAATGTGAACAAGACTGAAGTCCTCCTGATTGGCTCACGCCAGCGCCTCCGCACCTCAGGCTCTGGTAGCATCAACCTCCATGGTTGCACACTTCAAGTCATCAAGTCAGTCAGGAGCCTGGGTGTCTTGTTCGATCCTCAACTGTCTTTCCTCCCCCACATTCAAGCCATGACCTGCTCTGCCTTCCCTCACCTCTGGATCATCGCCCGACTCCGCCCCTACCTCACCCCTCAGGAGGTGAAATTCTTGTTCATGCCTTCATCACCTCCAGGCTCGACTATGCAAACGCCCTGTCCTCCCTCCACAGGCTGCAGATAATCCAGAACTCTGCAGCCCGTGTCCTCAGGTAACACATTCTGGCTGTGTGCGTATATCTCTGTCTATGAATGTGTATCTTTCTCTGGGAACTTATGTCCCTCTGCGTCTGTGAGTGTGTGTGTCTCTGTTTGTCTGTCTGTGAGTGAGTGTGTGTGTCTCTCTCTGTGTCTCTGTCCTGAGAGGCAGGGGATGGTGAGCTCCTGCGGCCTTGCTGGTGTCCCCCTTCTTAAAAAAAAAGGCCTTTGTTGAAGAAGCAATTAATAATTTATTTTTGCAACAATCTAATATGTGTCATTTTCTCATGTTTAGTTTTTAATCAATAAAGTGAAAAAATGTAGGTTGGCAGTAAAATGCACCTCAAAAGCACCAACCAAACCCTGCAACTTCCCGCAAAATGTTCATCAATTAAGTTTAGATCTCCAAACGTTATTCTCAGGCTGTACAGTGCTCTATTTAGAATAACTCAGACACCGCGACATCAGGGGCTGCCCAGCCACAGAGACAGTGCAGAGGAGAGCAACAAGGCTGATTCCTGGGTTAAAAGGAATAACTATAAGCAACAATTAGACAAGGGTGCTTCAGTCTAGAGAGGAGCTGATTCTGAGGGGACCTTATCGAAGTGTATAAATTTACAATGGGTTCGAAAAAGTAAACCGAGAACAATACTTTAGGAAGTACCGAGACAGGAGAACAAGAGGATTAGAGTTGCCAAGGGCTAACTCATGCCAGACACCAGGAAGGTTTTCTTTGCTCAGAGGGTAATTAATGACTGGAACAGGTTGCCAGGAAACAACAACAACAACAAATTACACTTATGTAGCACCTTCACGTCGGAAAGACATCCCAGGGCGATGGACAATCAGGAGTTTTGGACCCGAGCTGGGAGTTGGGGTCAAGAGGGGTGGAGGGCAGGGGGTGGGAGTTAGCTCGAAGGCACAGTCGAAGAGAAAGGTCTTCAGACGAGACTTGAAGGAGGCAAGAGAGGGGCTGAGGCAGAGGGATTACGGGATAGAGTTCCAGAGTGTAGGAGCAGAAATGCTGAACACCCGACTGCCAATGGTGGGGCAGGAAGTGCGGGAGACCTGAAGCAGCCGGTGTCCATTGAGGGGAGGGAGCAGACAGGCTGATATGGGGTTACGAGCAATTTCATGGAGAGCCTTGAAGGTAAGAACAGGTATTTTGTACTCGATTCTCTGAGGAATGGGGAGCCAGTGAAGCCGGGCTAGAACGTGGGCGATAGGTTCCAGGTGCGGGAGAGGACACGACCTGCAGAGTTCTGAATAATCTGCAGGTTGCGGAGGGAAGAGTTGGGAAGTCCAGTGCAGGGTGTTGGCGTAGTCGAGCTCAATGAAAGCGTGGATGGCTTTGCGGCCTGCGGTGAGAGGCAGTGGCAGAGGTGGGCAATGTTGCGGAGGAGGGCAATGTTGCGGAGGAAGGGCAATGTTGCGGAGGAGGGCAATGTTGCGGAGGAGGGCAATGTTGCGGAGGAGCGGCTAGGCGGAACAGGTCACAGAGAGCTGAGGGTCAAAAAAGGACACTGAGGGTTTGGATTGGTTCGGTGAGTTGAAGAGTGTAGCCAGGAATCCTGAGTTAGCCCTTGGCAACTCTAATCCTCTTGTTCTCCTGTCTTGGTACTTCCTAAAATATTGCTCTGGTTTTACTTTTTCATTGTAAATGTATCTCACTGGTGAGATGAAAAGTGCAGCCATTAATGGTGTCAGCAGCTGAAGTGAGGAGACGCTACCAGGAGTCAAGCAGGAGGGGCTCTGGTTGCCAACAGTGAAAGCTGGTTGAGGCCAGAACACGAGGATGATTTAAACAGCAGTTTGATGGGGTGGGGGATGGTAGGGAGGTGGAGGTGTTCTGGAGACATGATATCAGATGGGTCAAGTGGGGAGAGGGCTTCATCCAAACCAATCATGTGATTGGCCGAAGTTGGTGGACTTTCCTTCTTGCACAGTTGAATGGCGATCGGCTACAAGTTACTATGGTTACAGCCATCACTCACTGAAATCAAATTATTTTTTACTACTGTTACACATGCAAAGTGACAATTTCATCAGTGTGATTAACCCCGGCTGCTGATGTACAAAATAAGAATAGATTGTATTGTGACCTCTTTGAGATTTAATCCAATTAATAATGCCTTCCCTCTCCCTCATTGCTGACACCTGTGGTGGGTTTCCTGCTGCCCCTCCCACACCACACCTGCGGTTCTCAGGGGCTGTGTTGGATGGGACGTGGAGTTACTGCTTCTCTGAATTGTTTCTGTTAATTGTGTTACTGTGTGAGTTACATTTAGAATTGTATGTTTGTAAGTTTGTGAAACTTTGTTCCTTTTAAGACTTTTTTTAAAAAAATAAAAGCTTCTGCTGAGGCCCGTGTGAGCCAGAGGCAAATTTGGAAAATCACTTGGAAAAATGAGAGCTGTGAGCGCATAGGAGGGAATTTGGTGTAAAGTTGGATTTGAAATTTCTTATCCTTTGTGTTTTAATGTTGACATCTGTGGACTGCTTGTTTCCGTGTTAATTGTATTGCTGAGGAGCTTATTACAACTTGTTGCAAATGGGACATTTTCGCTCTTGTCAACCAGCATGTGATTAACCCTCTGAGGTTTGGGTTCAGTGCAGATTGAAGCTCCCTCTCCCCTCTCCCCTATCCACACTGTCGAGCCTCAGTCTCAGAAGTATCCACGACTCCATCCAAACTGTTGAGTTATTCTGTATGATTAGGGTTTGTGTTTTACACTGCCAGTTTGTTCTTCATTGCTCACTAGCTGATTTAATTTTTATTATGCTTTATTTAGCTTGTGTTGTAGCTTTGTAACTTGTAGAGAAGATTTGCTTTGTATCAATCACTAAATCTGAATCCAGGTCCGAGAAGTGACTGCTAATATGTTGACTTTCCTTTCCTGGTTCCTCCCACCTTTACAGCTGTATAAGATCATGATTAGTGTGAATGACCTTCCTCATTCAAACTAATCCTTTGGCCCATCTGATCTCAACCCTCCAAAGTCCATTATCCTCCCATCACAGCGGCAAGCCTTCTTATGGTCCCATTTCTCAACGACAGATGCCTGAATCGTTTCTACTCTAGCTATTTAGGGTTACAGCTTTAGGTACAGTGGGGTTTGTAATTACACCTCAGTACAGAGGGGATCTTCCTGCTGATTAATCAAGGTTTGCTTTATTTTTTACAAAATAGTAAAAACCTGGTGTGTAAGGGACGTACAGTGCTGAGTGATACACCAGGTCATGGGTAGGAATGCCAGGTCTCTGACAGCTAGCTGATCTTGACCAAGGCAGCAATTAAGTTGGTTTATAGAATTGGATTATAGAAGGGGGGAAAAAAATTAGGATTGCTGTTTCTAACTGCCCTCCGGTGCCCACTGCAGGAAATTGAATTTATGGTGGGATAGGATCAGGCTCTGGCAGCTTGTCTATGATGTGGCCGCTATGGTGAGAGCTGATGGTGATGTGAATCTGGCTAGCGAGAGTTATCCTTTTTAGTAACCTCCGTTACCATCTTTAATTCTACCCAAAGTGATTCTGTGTCTGCCATTTCCTTTTTTATATCCTCTCTCACTTATGTCTCAATAATGGAGCTTATATATATATATATAGCCACGCCACTTCCTCTTCTCCCGACACCGTCCCTTTTAAACAGTTTATAATAATAATAATAATCCTTGCATTTGATATAGCGCTTTTCACGTCTTCTCGACGTCCCAAAGCGCTTCACAGAAAGTGAATTGACTGTATATTTGTGGGCGAACGCGGCAGCCAATTGCACACAGCAGCGTCCCACAAACAGTCATGGATTGAAAATGACCAATTTATTATTGTTTTGTTTTCTTGGAGAGATTATTATAACCTTCCCATTGATCGGATTCATTCCACCATGTCTCTGTTATGCTAATGATGTCCAATCTATCACCCTTTACAAGACCTTCCAGATCACGCATCTCGTTTGTCAGACTTTTTGCAAGTACAGCTCCATTGTTTTTGGCCTTTCCCATTTACTATATAAATATATAAACATGTTTTGGGACTTTCAGTTCATGGTCTGAATTTATAGTCTTGCTGACACTGTAGAGCAATACTGGAGCAGACTTTAGACCATCGGAGGAGATGTTAAACTAAGGTCCCATTTGCCTGTTCAGGAGGAAGAACCAGTAACATAATTTAAGAGCTTCTCCCTGGAATGTCAGCCAGCAATCCCTCAGATACAGTTACTTTATGGATGTTCCTCTACACAAATGCAAGTCCCTACTACAATAACTTCATAGAGCACCCTTCGTGCAGGATAGCGCCTGAAAGCTTGGTTGGATCCCGAAAAAGGGAGAAGGAAAAGGTGCGGTCGTAGAAAACCCTCAATTTTCAGGGGAATTTAAAATAGAGAAAGATGGGGAGGGGTTGAGGCAGGGAGTTCCAGAGATTAGGGGTGTTGTATCTGAAAGCACTCAACAGGACTGTATTAGCTATGGGAAGAGAGGCAGCAATTGAAGTGGGGGTAAATTCAAAACCAATCTGCGGAAATATTATTTCTTTGAACGAGTAGTAAATGTATGGAGCAGGCTCCCTAGGGAGACGATGGAAGCAGAAAGTGTTGATTCTTTCAAAAGCAAATGAGAAATTTTTTTGGGGGAAATAATATCTCAGAATACAGTGTATAATTTGGAACATAACAATCTAGGAACATGAAGGGACTGCCAGGATGGTGGAAGAACTGAATGGATCTTGGTCTTTTTCAGAGTGAAAGGACAGTTGAGGGTCTAAAAAGATGCCCAGGTTCCTGACTGGCTCGGTGAGGTGGAGTGTGCATCCATGGATGCTGATGCTGCCAGTGCCTGGGGTGTGGAGGCACTGATGTGAACCAATCAGGAGGGCCTCAGTCTTGCTGACGTTCAATTGTAGAAAGTCGGGTCTCATCCAGGACTTGATGTTTGACAGGGAGTCTGTTAGGATAGCAATGGCCCTGAGGCAGAGAGATAGAGTTGTTCAGACCTTTGTAGATAGTCTGAACGCACCGTACCATTTACATTTATGCATTGCCTTTTATGGCTGGAGGACACTTCACGGTGCTGTTTGGGGTGGGAGCCATGGGGAATGGGGAGGGAAAGCTGATCAAAAAGCGTGGACAAAGAAATACATTTTAGGACAGTCCGAGTAAAGTTAATCCAAAACTCTGCTACCCACATACTCCCCCTCACTAAACACCATACCCCAATCACACCAGTTCAAGCCAGGCTCCACTGGCTCCCCATCACTGAATGAATCAACTTCAAAATCCTCACACTTGTCTTCAAATCCCTCATGCCCTCTGCGCCACCAGCAGTGGCCGCACTTTCACCACCACATCCTGAAACTCTGGAACATTCTTCCTCTATCCTTCCACCTTGGCCCCTCCTTCATCTTCAGGTCAAGCCTAAAGAACTTCTTCTTCGACTGTGCCTATGGTCACCTCCCCTCGGTTCAACACTGCTCCGCCATGGTCGAGCACTCTGTGTGAGGGCGCTACATAAATCAAAGTTGTTGGTGAACAGTTCAAACCACCTGAATCCCAGTTGGACATTTGGTTTCTAAGGATCTGGACTTCGACATGTCTAACAGCCCCAGGTCTCCTTCCCTGAGTCAGAGGCACCCGGCCAGGCCATCAGGGAAGTCTCATTTTGCATTTTAGTGAAACAGGTCAAACCAGACAATTATTATAAGACAAAAAAAACACAAACAAGAGAGTAGAAGATGGACATAAAACAGAATGAAGTGGGAAGGAGGGAAGTCATCCTCTCAATGTTAAGTTCTGCAGTTTTATTTGCTTCTCTTTAATGTGTAGAGGCTGTTGCCATGTCCTTGAGCTCTCCAGCCCTGCAACTGGGGTCTCCAGCGTCCCGCAGTTCCCCGGTGGAGGTCCGAGGGGATGGGCGCCCGCCACGATTCCGCAGGAGGGTCAGCAGTGCAGAGACCGAGGACATTCAGAGCAACAGTGATCAGCAGTAAGTGGTGTCGATCATTGGGCTAAATGTTATCCTTTGTGTCGAGCCCTACATCAGTCTCCTGTGTCCTCTTTAATCTCTTGCTCCATTTTTTGGTGGGGGAATCACCTTGGTGTCTGACACATGCGGAAACCCACCACCTGCTTAAGAGAATCTAAACCAAACTGAGAATTCCATGCATCCCCCATACACATGGAAATTCCAGAGATGGATTGTTGGAATGGAATACGCTCTCTCACCCTGGAGGACACATCCTGCTTATTTAATTCCAGAACGTTTTAGGCACAGGTTGGCAAGAGCCAAGGCTTGGGGATGCCAGAGTGTGTGTTGGGATAATTGCTGGAGTCGAACCATAACTTGCCTTCGCTGTCTGGCAAGCTTTCCCGCTGCTTGTCCAGCTAGGACCATCCTACCCATTGGAGATTTGGCTGCAGGGTTAACAGAAACTGAGTGGGATGATTCCCTGCCCAAGTGACTGGTCAGCCCTTCCAAGTCCTGCTGATGAGCAATGCTGTCATCAGCAGTGCCCTGGAAAACTGTGGACCCCCCTGGCTCAGAAGCCAGACTCCTGAGACCGTCACAGAAGGCTGACTCGATTCTGTCACTGCGTTGCCAAACATGCCACTTTGGAGTCAGTTCAGCTCCAATATGACCCCACTTACCTCCAACCCCCTCCCTCCCCCACCACACCCCAAAAGCAGGTTAGTCATCAATTGATCAACTTTGTATAATGTTCAGTATTTGAAGTTATAGTTGTTTTGTTTTAAAAAAAAGCTGCCGTACACATATACACTGATGTCTGTTTTCCTGTTTAAATGTACAAATCTAATGTGATGCATAACATTTGCCCTGTTTCTGTCCTCCAACCCTAAGTTTCTAGACTCAGACTAAAATGTATTTACTGATGACCTTTACTAGGGTGGGCTCAATCCACAGGTTTAGAGATGTTGTATTTGGTCACCTGGTGACTTACACAACAACAACAACAAAATTACATTTTGAAAGTGCCTTTCACGTCGGAAGGACAACAACAACAACAAGATTCCATTTATAAAGCGCCTTTCACGTCAGGAGGACGTCCCAAGACGCTGCACAGTTGGGTCATGACCCGAGCAGGGGGGAAATGGTCAGGGTGAGGGGAGGGAAGGGAGGGAGCGAGGAGGGGGGAAATGGTCAGGGTGAGGGGAGGGAAGGGAGGGAGCGAGGAGGGGGAAGAGAGTCGAGAGGGGAGCTGAAGGCTCGGTCAAAGAGAAAGGTTTTGAGACCGGCCTTGAAGGAGGAAAGGGAGGAAGCGGCGAAGGCACTGGGGGATAGAGTTCCAGAGCCTTGGGGCTGAGGCTGAAGGCCCGACCACCGATGGTAGGGCGATTGGGGCGGGGGACGTGGAGCAAACCGGAGCCGGAGGAACGGAGGGTACGGGCAGGTAGGTAGGGGGATAGTAGGTTGGAGAGGTAGGAGGGAGCGAGGCCGTGAATGGCCTTGTAGGTGAGGATGAGGATCTTGAAATCAATCCTCTGGGGGATGGGGAGCCAGTGGAGGCGAGCGAGGGTGGGAGTGATGTGGTCCCGAAGCCTGGTGCGGGACAGTACACGAGCTGCAGAGTTCTGAATGACCTGCAGTGTGGAGGGAGGTGGCGGGAAGGCCGACGAGGAGGGAGTTCCCATAGTCCAGCCTTGAGGTGACAAAGGCGTGGACCAGGGTTTCAGCCGCGTGAGGGGTGAGGTAATGCCGTAGTCTGGCGATGTTCCGGAGGTGATGGAAGGCGGTGCCAGTTGTGGTGCGGATGTGAGGGAGAAAGGACAGCTCAGGGTCGAACAAAACGCCGAGGTTCCTGACTGGCTTTGAGAGGTGGAGAGTGCAGCCTTGGATGCTGATGGTGTCAGCGCCTGAGGTGCGGAGGCGCTGACGTGAGCCAATCAGGAGGGCCTCGGTTTTTCGCACGTTGAGCTGAAGAAAGTTGTCTCTCGTCCAGGACTCGATGTCGGACAGACAGCTGTCATCGGGGGTCGTGGAGTTGAGAGTAGAGGAGGAAAGGTAGAGTTGGGTGTCATCCGCATACATGTGGAAGTTAACTCCATGTCTGCGGATGATGTCACCACAGGGGGAGCATATAGAGGGTGAAGAGGAGGGGACCAAGGACAGAGCCCTGAGGGACACTGCACGAGACAGTGCGGGGTTGTGGAGGAGAAGCCATTTGTCGAGACAAAGTGAAGACGGTGAGAAAGGTACCACCTAAACCACTCAAGGACAGTGCCTTGAAGGTTGAGGTGGGAGGACAAGCGGTGGAGTAGGATAGCGTGGTCGACCGTATCGAATGCTGCCGATAGGTCGAGGAGGACGAGGAGGCAGAGGGAGCCCTGGTCACAGATGGTCAGGATATCATTGGTGACCTTGACCAGGGCAGTTTCTGTGCTATGGGCAGCACGGAAACCTGACTGAAGGGGTTCGAAAAGTGAATGGGTGGAAAGGAAAGAGCGCAGTTGGGAGGCGACAACTCTTTCCAGGACCTTGGAGAGAAAGGGGAGGTTGGAGATGGGCCGGTAGCTTGATAGCTGCGACGCATCAAGGGAGGGTTTTTTCAGGGTGGGAGTGATGGTGGCAGTTTTTAAGGGAATGGGAACAGAGCCAGAGGAGAGGGACAGGTTGACAATGTCGGTGATATGTGGGGCAAGAAAGTGGAGCTGGGAGATAAGGAGTGGAGTGGGGATGGGGTCAAGGGAGCAGGTGGTTGGTTTCAGGGATAGGATGAGTTTGGTGACAGAGGGTGGGGAAACGGGTACAAAAGTGAGTAGGGGAGGATGGGTAGCAGTCGGAGTGTGGGAGTGAGGGGGTGGGGGGTGGGTGGATGTTGGAGGGGAAGTGACCGCGGAGCGAATTCCCTTGATCTTGGATTCAAGGAAATCCAGCATCTCCTCGCAGTGAAGGTTGGAGGAGATGACCTGCGCGGGGTGGCGGGGGGGACGGAGGAGTCGGGTTGTGGTGGAAAACAGTAGCCTGGGGTTGTTCTTCGCCTCCAGGATTATCCTGGAGTAGAAGGACGACTTGGCCGAGGCTAGAGTGGAGCGGTAAATTTTGAGGAGGTCCAGCCAGATTTGTCGGTGGACCGTTAGGCCAGATTTGACACAGGTGCGTTCAGCGGCCCGCACCTGGCTTTTCAGTGAGCGGAGGTGGGTGGTGAACCAGGGGGAGGAGCGGGAGTAGGAGACAGTGCGGGAAGTGATGGGGGCAAGAGTGTCGAGTGTGGAGGAGAAGGTATTGTGGAGGAGGGAGAGAGGAGAAGAGGGGTCCGTGAGGGTTGAAGGCCAGAGGGAGAGGAGTTCAGAGGACTCCAAGGCATCGGTTAGGGATTGTGGGGGTAACTTCTTCCAAGGGCGGTAGAAGATGGTGGTGGGTCTGGTGGAGGTGGGGAGGGGGGTGGAGGTGGTGAAGGAGATGAAGTAGACGTTCCAAGGCACTGGACGGACAGAGTTACGGACCCGAACTGGAGGTCGGGGTCAGGGAGGGTGGAGGGCAGGGGGGGAAGCAGGGAGATCGAAAGCATGGTCGAAGAGGAGGGTCTTGAGGTGGGTCTTGAAGTTGGCGAGGGAGGGGTGAGACGGAGGGACTGTGGGATGGAGTTCCAGAGGTGGGGGTAGAATGGCAGAAGGCCCACCGACACCCCAATAGTGGGGTGAGCGAGGTGGGGGACGTGAAGCAGGCCGGAGACTGCTGAGCGGAGGGAGCAAACAGGGTGATAGGGAGGTCGGAGTGGTCGGGGGCAGCAAGATTGTGGAGGGCTTTGAAGGTGAGGACCAGGATCTTGAACTGTATCCTCTGTGTGATGGGAAGCCAGAGGAGTTGGGCGAGGATGGGGGTGAGAGTGGAAACCCATCACCGTGCTTGAGTCTCTAACAACAACAACTTGGATTCATATAGCGCCCTCCACGCCGGATGGCGTCTCAGAGCGCTTTACAGTAACGGATCCCGGGGCCGAGTCAGGGGGGAGGGGGAGGAGCCAGGGGGAGGTGTGGGAAGGTGACCAAAGGCACGATCGAAAAGAAAGGTCTTCAGCAGAGACCTGAAAATGGGAAGGGAGAGGGCGAGGTGAAGGCAGTGAGGAAGGCAGTTCCAGAGCCTCGGAGCGTACTGGCTGAAGGCACGGCCGCCGAGGGTGGAGCGGAGGACTCGGGGAATGAGGAGGAAACCAGACCCGGAGGAACGAAGGCAACGGGTACTGTTTTGAGGAGAGGGGAGGTCAGAGAGGTCGGGGGGTGCAGAGGAGTGCAGGGACTTGAATACGAGGGTGGGGATCTTGAAGTTGATCCTCTCTGGGACAGGAGCCAGTGCAGTCTGGCCAGGACTGGGGGGATCGGGGAGAGGGGTTTGGTGCGGGTGAGAATGCGGGCGGCAGAGTTTTGAATGATTTGGATTTTATGGATGGTGGTGGAGGGGAGACTGGTGAGGAGGGCATTGGAGTAGTCCAGTCAAGAGGTGACAAAGGCATGGACCAGGGTTTCAGCGGCTTTTGGGGAGAGGTATTGGCGGAGACGGGCGATGTGTCAGAGGTGGTAGAAGGCGGTGCTGGTGAGGGACTGGATGTGGGGGAGGAAGGATAATTGGGGGTCGAACCTGACACCCAGGTTGCATACCGGTTCTGAGAGTTTTAGAGGGAGGTCGGGTAGGTGGAGGAGGTGAGAGCCATGAGATTTTAGACATTGACGAGAACCAAAGAGTATGGCTTCCGTCTTGTCAACGTGCAGCTGAAGGAAGTTTGCGCTCATCCAGCCCCTGAGATCTGACAGGCAGAACATCAGGGGACTGGGGGGTCGCAAAGAGAGATGGAAAAATAGAGTTAGGTGTCATCCTCATACATGTGGAAATGTACCCCATGTCTGCGGATGACATCCCCAAGAGGGAGCATGTAGATCAGAAAGAGGAGGGGCTAAGGATGGATCCTTGGGGTACCCGCAGGTGACCGGGTGAGAGTGGGAGGAGAAGCCGTTTGTGCAGATGTACTGCTGGCGATTTGTGAGGTAGGACTCGAACCGGGCGAGTGCGGTCCCACTGATGTGGATGACGGAGGAAAGGCAGTGGAGGAGGATGGCGTGATCGACTGTGTCGAACGTGGCGGAGAGGTCCAGGAGGACAAGGAGGCAGAGGGAGCCCTGGTCACAGATAGAGAGGATGTCGTTTGTGACTTTCACAAGTGCAGTCTCTGTACTGTGGGCGGAAACCGGACTGGAGGGGCTCGAAGAGGGAGTGGGAGGAGAGGTGTGCGCGGAGTTGGTTGACAACAACACGTTCCAGAGCTTTTGAGAGGAAGGGCAGGATAGAAATAGGGCGGTAATGGCTGGGGTTTGAGGGATCTAGGGAGGGTTTTTTCAGGAGATGGGGGTGAGGAAGGTGAGGGGGACAGAGAGGGTGTGGTGGTGGGTGACGAAGGGCAGGTGGATGAGGCTGCCTGGCGGATGTTAAGTATTTTAGATGAATAGAAATCCATGACCTCCTCGCACTTGGCATTTGATATGAAGATTGAGGAGGCCTTAAGGGGGGGTACGGAGGAGGTAGTGGGTGGTGGGAAAAAAGGATTTTAGGGTTGTGTTTAGCCTCCAAGATGATGTTCCACCTACACAGACTGAGTTCCACCTACACATGGAAATCTCCCCGTGTCTGGAATGGAATGTATTCTTTCACTGGGAAATGTTTACCTAACTCCAGAGAGTGTTAGGCACAGGTTACTAAGACTCCAGTGTGTGCTGGGGTACTGCTGGAGTCTAACCAGCTGAAACTGCATCGCTTGCCATTGAAAGCTTCCCAGTGCTTATCCATCTACACTTCAGTATTCTTTTGTACTAAGCGGCCTCTGTTCTCTCCTAACCCAGTTGGTGTGAGTCCTTATTTCAAAGGTGACTCAACCGAGTCAGAGTCACACACACAGACTGGTTTTCCCAGTTACCTCCAATGCCCGGTAACTGGAATGTCTAATCAGAGTGTCTGCTCGCACGAGTAGACTCCAATGTTAACAGCTACTCTCTGAAGTGGAGTTACTCCTTTTCTTGTCTACAAGACCAGAGACTCGAGGATACATTCGATAGAAACAGCAGCTCATTATTAAGGCCGAGCAGCGCTCGACTCCCCGGCATATAAGGAACACAACAATGGAAGATATTCAACAATGGGACATCACAAACATCACAATCACATAACTATATCACTGGCAGCAAATACTACATCAGTAACGAAATAGAAACCAACCCTGACTGTACAGTAGTCCTGTACACGTCAGTACGTACCGGATAACGACCATTAGTTACCGATCACGAGGAGCGCTGAGCATTGCCTTATATAGACGTGTGGCTCTGCCCTCTGTATGATGCGAATGTGAGGGTTTTTTCCCCGCGCGAGAGCCACGTGTTACTCCACTCTCCACGTTGCTTGTTCCCTGTCTGTCCATCAGTCAGCCCTGGATCTATACTTGTTGTAAACTCGTGTTGGCCGCTCGCTAACTCTGCACGCAGCGTCTGCAACTCGAAATCTTACAGAACCCATTTAAAGGGGCAGGCCTCCCCATTTCCCTTCAATAATGTTATATAGTTATATATCATACTATTTATTCACACATTACAAAAGACTGCAAGAATAGGGTAACCATGACAGAACACCCTTGAGTAAATTGCATACACACATGGAAGTCAGTCTGGTTTGGAATCAAGATAATAATAATATGATGATGATGGGTTTCCACATGTCAGATATTCAGTTCACAAAAAAAAACTAAGACTAGCCCATGCTGTCTGAGAGTGCCTGATGCTTCTATTCTGTTTCTTCAGAAATTCCTATGACCAGAATGAGACCAACGATGATTCCCTGGAATATAATGAATGGATCCCCCCAGAGTCCAGCACCATCCAGAAAATTATCTCCCAGATTGAGTTCTATCTCTCTGACGACAATCTTGCCGTAGACAGCTTTTTACTGAAACACATGAAGAGGAATAAAATGGGTTACATCAGCATTAAGCTTCTCACCTCATTCAAAAAGGTAAGGACAGATTGGGCTTCATCACCGGGACCTAACATGATGGTGGTGTGACCCGTGTGAAATATTATGGTTCTGCACAGCTCGAGAGGGGACCTTGGAAGGTATAAATTGGCAGTTACAAGGATTACAGTCCCAATGATTAATTAATCTCTGGGTTTGTGGTGGAAGCCAACTTTTGTTTGGATGCTGTCCTGCGGAGAGGTGAATGGCAATCTGGTCATTCTCATAGAAATTTACAGAAGGACATTCAGCCCGTGTGTCTGTGCCGCTCCCTCGAGCAATCCATTTAGTCCCATTTACCTGCCCTTTCTCACACCCCTGTAGCTGACTGTTTTTAGGGTATCTGTCTGGTTCCCTCTTGAAGCCGATATGGATGTTGCCTCAACCACCCCTCCCAGCAAGACATTCCATATCCTAACCACTCTATGTTTGAAAACAATTCTCCTGACCTTTCCATTTGCTTGGTTACCTATTATCTTAAATTGATGTTCTCTAGTTACTGACTTACTGACCAGTGGAAATAATGTCTCCCTATTGACTCTTATCAAAACCCCTCATCATTTTAAAGACCTCTATCAGGTCACCCTTCAATCTTCTTTTGCAACAGAAAAAGGCCCAGTTCCTCCCGTCTCCTCTCATAGGCCAAACCACTCACCCCTGGTGTCATCCTAGTAAATCTCCTCTGCACCCTCACCTTAACAACTTTCCTAAAGTGGAGTAAGCAATACTGGACCCAATATTCTAATGATTTGCATAACTTTAGCAGTACCTCTTTGGTATTATAACTCTATATCTCTATATATAAAACCCACGTTTTTAATTGACATCTCTTACGATAAAATCCCAATGTAGGTTAAGCTTGTGGCATACAAGACTGGTGTCCAAATAATTCTCCTTCAGGTTTCTGAGTTCTTGGGCTTGAGAGGGGCTTATGAGATGCAGAACCAAGCAGCAAGATGGATTTTTGGTTTATTTTAATGACGTTACTTGAATAACACTTGAGCAAGGCAAAAGTACTGATGTAGATCACATATTCACTATGTCCAGTGCAGTGACAGTAATCACAATATACGGTTTACTCTGTGCCAAATCTCATACGGAGTTCCTTGTATTTCTGAATGAGAGAAAAATGCAGAGGATGATTCATCCAAAGAAACCATAAGTGTCGGATTTTTTTTCTCTTATCCCTTAAAGTAATGTCGCTGTCTGTAGTTCATTCACTCTATATGTGTGTGGGTATGATTCAAATAGACTTTCCTCCTGCGATGATCATTTACCCCAATAAACTCTTGTCAAACTAACTTGTGATCACCAGAACTTCTCAATCATTACCTTGCTAATCCTGCTTTAGGGATTTAACCCGGTGAAGTTTGACAAGTGCTGTTTTACTTGCAGGTGAAGTGTTTAACTAAGGACTGGAAGGTAACTAGTTATGCTCTTAATCATTCCAAATTACTGGAGGTAAATCAAGAGGGAACAAAGGTTCGGCGTAAAAATGCCATCCCCGAGGCTCTCCTCGCTGTCTCCCCCAGTAAGCGTGTGCTGGCCTGGAACCTGCACAAGGCAGCGTCGGAAGGTGATGGGCCAACACAGAACCAAAGCAATGTCATGGAGACGGCCATGAAGATTTTTGCTGCTTTTGGTGCAATCAGCTTTGTACGCGTCTTGCAACCAGGCAGGGAAATTCCCGCTGAACTGAAAAAATACACTTTTAAGTATCCGGAGGTGGGGACCAAGGTTTGTGTGCTTGTGGAGTACGAATGCTATGAAGGGGCCAAAAATGCCTATGAGGAACTGGGCCAGAAACGCTGCAGAAAAGGGGAGGATCTGAAGGTCGTCATACTGACGGGGAGAGGAACCAAAAAAATCCAAGCAGATCACAGTGAATTGGAAGACTTGAAACCAAAAAAGCCATCAAGAAGACTCACCAAGATTGAGAGGTTGCAGTATGCTGTGGAGGAGACGGCCATCTACAGCTCTTCTGAATCTGATGGAGCTGGTTCCCCTGCCTCGGTTCAGAGATACCTTCAGTCCAAGTTGAGTGATTCCTATAATTCCACACCCAGTCCCAGCACAGCTTGTAGCTCTCATTCCTGGAGCGACCACCACTGCAGCCCTGGGGGTTCTCGCAGAAGCCTGGGAGCTCACAATCCTTCACCCCTAACCACAGACCTGGTTGGGCCAGGAATATGGTCAAGTCCAGGCACAAGTCCCGAATTCACCAGGAAATTCCATGACTACTCCTCTGACAGTGGAAACTGCTCTGGCTGTAGCCCGTGGGTACATCGCCGCCGTATGGCTGCCGGTCATGCCACTGCTCTGGAAACCGGCCAAACACCATTTAGACTGTCCATGGGTAAGAAGCCTCCAAACAGCATTGGCCTCCCTCCTGGGGTGGCTCGGCTGCCCATTGGACCAGATGGCACCAGAGGGTTTTACAACAGCATTGGCAGAGGGAGAGTGGTTCTGAGGCATTGAACTGTTGTAACTGATACCTTTCACTGTTGGACCATCCCCAAAGAGAAAATGTGTGCATTCACTTCTATCTTTGTTTCAAACTAAGGTTCAGTAGTCTGGAGATGCTTAATGTAGCTTAAAGGGATTAAAATGTTGTACTATATGACATTATCCTTATTTCTAAAATTTAAACTTGCTCTTCTAGCTGAAACGTCACTTGCACCAGATGAGGTGTATTCCGGAAGGAGGTTTCGTCTGAAAGAGGTTTGATAAAGGTTGCTATGGCAGAAGCATGGTGAATAATGGACAATGATATCTTTGCTGTTAATGTATGCCAAGGCAACTGTACTTTTTGCACTTGATACAGCAATGGTGCAATGCTTGAATCTTGCCAGCCGTTAGTAAATGTTATAAACCTATATATGGTCATGTTCAAAATTATAGATGGATGCATCATCGTGAAGCTATTTGTTAAAATCCTGAGTCTGCTTTGCATAATGTATAATATCTGGTTCATATATCAGTGTAACCTTCCTGGTGATGCTACACATGAATAAATAATTGCATACACATGTGTGTAGTGTCCTGTATCCCCAGCATGACGTTCAGCTATAATTGAGATTGACACTTTGTCAATGGTGGAGTCTGGTGCAGCGAGACATGGAAGCCTAAGCATTCAGATCAGGCCATTGGAGGCCGTACTTCTTCCTCATTAATCTTCACCTCTTTCCTGCAGAGCTGATTGACAACAACAACCTTCATGTGGGGCAGTATCTCAGCGCACCTCATTGCCATACACATAATGCAGATCGCAAGACGCTGGGATGAACAACAATAAGATTACATGTGTATAGCGCCTTTCATGTTGGAAGGACATCCCAAGGCGCTGGACAGTGACAGCATTTCAGATCCGAGCTGGGGTCGGAGGGGGGGGAGAGAAGGGAGGGGAAGGGAAGAGGGATGGCCGATGGCATGGTCGAAGAGGGGGGTTTTGAGGTGGGACTTGAAGGAGGTTAAGGAGGGAGTGACTGCGGATGGAATTCCAGAGGTTGGGGATAGAGTGGCTGAAGGCTCTCCCCAGTGGTGGGGCGGGTGGGTCGGGGGATGTGGAGCAGCCAAAGCCGGCTGAGCGGAGGGAGCGGGCTGGTTGGTAGGGGGTTAGGAGGTCGCAGAGGTAGGGTGGGGTGAGGTCATGGAGGGTTTTGTATGTGAGGACCAGGATCTTGAACTGGATCCTCTGAAGGATAGGGAGCCAATGGAGTCGGGCGAGAGTGGGGGAGATATGGTCACAGAGATTGGTGCGGGAGAGGACATGGGCTGCAGAGTTCTGGATTATCTGCAGCCTGTGGAGGGAGGAGTTGGGAAGACCGATAAGCAGGGCATTTGCATAGTCGAACCTGGAGGTGATGAAGGCATGAACAAGAAGGCTCTTTAGCCCTTGATCTAGTACTTACCATTGTAGCAGTAACCCTTGTCCAGCTGCTGCAACATCCTCTGTGTAATGAAATACTTCCTGATGTCTGTCCTCAAATTGATCATCCAGAAACCTACACCGTGGCCAGGTATCCTGGTATCTTGAAGTATCTGAAAGCAGTTTATTGGGTTCACTTTCTCCACACAATTACGTTTAACATTTTACCTCTATAAACATCCCATAGTGATATTGCCATTTTTAGATAGTTAGGAAGATGCAGCAAGTGTAGACTCTGTTGGGTCATGTCTCTGCTTTGTTTTTTTTCTCTCTCCTATTTAAACCAAGTGTCACTGTATAATTATTGTAATAGAGTCATCTTGGAGTCCTGTAGCTCAGTGGTAAGAGCACTCGCCTCACAAGTGAGAGACTTGGGTTTGATTCCCAGGCAGGGCAAAACAAAGTTTCCTTACTCCACACGCCTCTGTTTACCAAGTAGTAAATAGGAACCCGGTTGCTAATTCATTGATGGATCACTCTTCTGGGGGTAATAATTCCTTCCAAAAAAAATATTTTGATCACTCAATCCAACACTGTTTGTGGGACGCTGCTGTGAGCAATTGGCTGCCACGTTTCGCCCACAAAATATATCGTCAATTCACTTTACAGTATATTCTGTGAAGTACTTTGAGACGTCTCGAAGATGTGATAAGGAGCTGTATCAAATGCAAAGATTATTATCTTCAGGCTTGCACCTCTGATTTTTCAATTGCATCAGAAAATCCTATTATATCCATCATCTCGAGATGTACAGCGCCGCTGATGTCACTACTCCTGCCCAGCACATGTGCAGGATGAGCTCATGTCAAAGGTAAATGTGGGTCCACTACAGGCAGAGATGGGAGGAATTATAGTAGGGGACAAAGACATGGCAGAGTCATTAAACAAGTTTGCTAATGACTTCACCTTAGAAGACACTGAAAACCTACCAAGAATAGAAGGGAACCAAGAAGACAGTGTTAGTGAGCAACTTGGGGAAATTAATATATAAGTAAAGAAATGGTTTTAGGTAAATTGTCAGGTCTTAAAACTGATAAATCTCCTGGACCTGATGGCCTACATCCTACGGTTTTAAAAGAGGTGGTGACTGAGATAGTGGACGGCTTGTCCTTGATCTTCCAAAATTCTCTGGATTCTGGAACGGTTCCCATTGATTGGAAGATCGCAAACGTGACACCACTATTTATTTACGAAGGGTGGGAGAGAAAAGATGGGGCACTATAGACCAGTTAGTCTGACAGCAGTGGTAGGGAACATTCTTGAGTCCTTAATTAAAGATGTCGTTATGGGATTCCTGGAAGACCATAACAAGATTAGAGTCAACATGGCTTTACAAAAGGGAAGTCATGATTCACTAATCTTTTAGGGTTTTTTGAAGATGTATCGAGCAGGTTAGATAGGGGGGAACCAGTAGATGTAGTATATATTTAGATTTTAAAAAGGCATTTGACAAAGTGCCACACAAAAGGCTATTGCACAAGGTTAAGGCCCACGGGATTAATGGGAACATATTAGCACGGATTGAAGAGTGGCTAACGGGTAGAAAACAGAGAGTAGGGATAAACGGGTCATTCTCGAATTGGCAGGAGGTGACTAGTGGAGTGCCACAAGGATCAGTGTTTGGGCCTCAGCTATTTGCAATTTACATCAATGATCTGGACGAGGACATTGAATGTAAATTCACGGATGACACTAAACTCGGTAGCAGAGTGAGCTCTGAGGATGATGCAAAAAGATTGCAACGGGATATAGACAGGCGAGGGGAGTGGGCGAGTAGGTGGCAGATGGAATTTAATGTGGGGAAGTGTGAAGTTATTCACCTCGGTAGCAAAAATAGAAAAACAGATTAGTTTCTAGAGGGGTAGAGATTAGATAGTATTAGTGTGCAGAGGGATTTGGGTGTCCTTGTACACCAGTCTCAAGAAGTCAGTTTGCAGGTGCAGCAGCAACTAATAATAATAATAATCCTTGCATTTGATATAGCGCTTTTCACATCGGGAGGACGTCCTAAAGCGCTTCACAGAACACACTGTAAAGTGAATTGACTTTTGTGGGCTAAGAAAGTATATATTTGTGGGCTAACTAAGAAGATGAACGGCAGTTAGTGTTCATTGCAAAAAGTTTAGAGTACAAGAGTAGAGAAGTCTTGCTGCAACTGTGTAGGGCTTTGGTGAGACCGCACCTCAAGTATTGTGTGCAGTTCTGGTCCTTATTTAAGAAAGGACATACTTGCCCTCGAGGGGGTGCAGAGTAGATTCACTCGGTTAGTTCCGGTGATGAGGGGACTGACCTATGAGGATAGGCTGAATAAACTAGGGCTGTATTCTCTTAAGAGTACAGAAGAATTAGGGGGGATCTTATTGAAACATATAAGATTCTTAAAGGGCTGATAAAGTAGACACAGAGGGTCTGTTTCCCTGGTAGGAGAATCTATAACCAGGGGTCACAGTCTTAAAATTAAGGGTCAGCCTTTTAGAACAGAGTTGAGGAAACATTTCTTCACTCAGAGGAGAGGGTAGTGAATTTATGGAATTCACTACCCCAGAAGGCTTTAGATGTCAGTCCTTGAACATCTTCAAGGCTGAGACTGATAGATTTTTTTAAAAAATAGAGGGATTAGGGGATATGGGGATAGGGCAGGTAATCAGAGTTAGGTCTGAAGATCAGCCACGATCTTATCGAATGGCGGGGCAGGGCTCGAGGGGCCGAATGGCCTACTCCTGCTCCCAATTCTTATGTTCTTATGTTCTTATAACCGATCAGACATTTTATATAGCGCGAGAGAAGCAGTTGATGTTTTGAAGTGAATCAATGTGATTTGAAGGAGGCCAATGAGCTCTCTGCATAGGTTTGGGATTTTTGGGTAAATAAATGGTAGGTGGAGATCACACCTCAGTAAGTAAAACAATGCAATACATTTGTATAGTGCCTTTCACATCGGGAGGATGTCCCAAGATGCTGGACAGTCAGGAATGTGTGCCTGAACTGAGGGTCAGCATTGTGGAGGGTAGGAGGATGGCCGAAGGCTCGGACAAAGAAGAGAGTTTTGAAACGTGCCTTGAAGGAGGTGAGGGAAGAAGCGAGGTGAAGGGAATGTGGGATGGCGTTCCATAGGGTAGGGGCAGAAAGGCTGAAGGCCCGACCACCAATGATGGGGCAGGCCTGGTGAGACATGGAGCAGGCCACAGCCATCTGAGTGGAGGGAGTGGATAGGTTGATATGGGTTCAGCAGGAAGCGTGTTACAACAGAGGGCCCTTTGACTGCTAAATCCGGCCAACATTGGCCATTGTTTGACAGATCTCTTATTGATCATTAGTGTGTGAGTTTATGAGCAGAGCCAAGAGTCAGGCGCTGCCACTGTTATGCTCTGAGACGCTCCCCTGCATGGAGGTAAGTGCAAGTTGTTGTTGTTGAGCAGAGAGCACAGCAGCATGAGGAGGGAACTGAGTAAGATGGAACATAGTGAGAATTCTGTTAAGGAATTTGGTGAGATAGGGAATTCTTCAGCAAGAGAAATACCAGAGAGATATCAGAGAGCAAGAGAGAACTCTTTCATTCAACTGAAGAGTGGGAAATCTTTCTTGACATAGAGGCAACTTGATATGTAAGCAGTTAATCATAGGCCAGGT